TCTCGTCTTTCATACTATGACTTGCTAAAAAATTAATGTTGAATCTATCGGTTTGGTCATGTTGGTTGGTTTAAGTACGGTCAGTACATGTATGTCTTGGTCAGGACAATGTCATGGTTTAGAGTTGAATCTTGCCTACTTGACCTACAATCTCTTCAATTCTGGATTGTTATTAGTGTAACATACATATCTTTCTCTCTTCAATTCTGGATTGTTATTAGTGTAACATACATTTCTTTCTCTCTTCAATTCTGGATTGTTATTAGTGTAACATGCATACATAGCTTTCTGTCCTCTACTGTTAGAATTCTCAAGCTGTGTTTTCCTTGTTACTGGCAGCTTTTCCCACAAACATGGATATATTATTGTCACACTTGATTCTTGAATACTCTTAATTGTTCCTACCCCCAGTCCCCACCCCTCCTTCCCAAAGCCATATTCCTGAGATCCCCCGCCTGGCACATACACACCAACCTGGGCAGAATATAATCAGCCATAATCAGATAAATGGATATTTTAATGGTATACATATTTTAGAGTTAGATTTGAAATTAAAATTCCACACTGTTTCTGTAACTTTATCAGATCTGCTCAGTGGTTGGCATATTATCCTTATACATGAAGGACAATTTAATGTTCGTCTTACATGTACTTGCCTGGAATGTGTGGCATTTTTCCCCTTCAAATTTTAGAAAACCACAAGACCTGTGAACTGCAAAGTAATGGGCAATTACACTGTCACTCACATTACATTTATATGCCATTAGGCTACTTTGACCCCTCACTGCTCCAAACGTTTTTGATCAATAAACAAATCAGCCTCACCAATTCAACCCATTTGTTGGTCTTCACTCACGTTCCAAAAAAATGATACATGAACAAATTTCCTGCAATGTTCTCCTGAAGTCTCCTCAAACTGTAGTCTGCAACACAGAAGAAACATATACCTTTTATTCAACCCATAGATATAAAAACCCATTTTTAATAAAATCAGTGTGTCTTTTAGATGCAGCGAACATTTGATTACAGGGAGGATTGCTTACTCGCATTAAATCACTCACATTGCGTCACTTACATTATATGTACTTCCTCTTCATAGTTTCTAAAATCTGAATTTTATGAACTCCAACATTGTGAAGCTCTTTTCTCATAAGATATGAACCTTTCTCTCTGCCTTGAAGACAAAACTGCTTACATTTATTCAATTCAAGACACTTAGTAAAAAATACATCCTCTTCCCCTGCCATGTCTTTACACAGGCTAGTCACCAACAATCAGATCATATTTCCAAGCAAGCACTTTGGCTAGTCAAATTCAGTCACTAACAGACACAAACATGCAAGTGGTAGGCATAGTTGGCTTATCAAGTCAAAACATTGCATAAACAATCACAGCCAGTCAATCCTGCTTTTATGCGTAGGCTGTGAGCTCTGGTTGATCTGTTGAAAACAGCCATTTGATTGGTTTTGACAACTTGGCACAGAATGTATGTTTGCATAGGAAGGTCTTAAAACTAGGTGCCAAAGTGACTACAAAAAAATCCATGGTTTTCGCACAAAAGACAGTTTTCTTGGACCAGAAAAATCACACAAATCTACATTCCATCCCACTGGCATACTGCACTCAAATGAAAGATCTTACATTTCCCTTTAATTTCACACCACATTTCTTGTTGTGATGCTTGATTTCTTAAATTTTCCAATTTCAGCCTTTTCCACTTTTGCATGTAATCGCCGATGCCCAATTAAATGTGCATAAAGGATTTCTTACTTTTAAAAGTGAACTAGATTGAGCTATGTGTGTATAGTGACGTTCCCTAACGTGGCACACTTTGACCTTTACCCCGACTTTCCTCATGTACATGTAGTGTTGCCAAACTTCTTTGTTGACAAACTTCAAATTCATTCAGTGAAGTACTGGTACTTTTTCCCTTATTATTAATCTCTGTGAACAATTTCGATGTCATGAAATTTTATCCGAAATTCAAAAACAGTGGCATCCGGAAAATTGGGCACAAACACGGCTAAGTGTTCCCTGACGTGTCGCACTTGAATAAATCTCGGAAAATTCCAAATTAACATTTAAGAATTTCTGTAAAGCCATAAATTCTGATAAACTATTATTATCTCTACTTACATACCCAAATAGACGTTTGTCAGAAAATTGTTTTCTTATTTTTGGGGGACATTTTCAAAGGGTTAACTGTGCACTAAAAAAATCGAAAAATCACGCCGGAATAAATATTTCTTCTAACTTTGTAACGGGTAGATAAACTCGTGATTTACGAACGGGAGTGTTTAGAACTTAATGAAATTTCACTTTCTGTGAAATTTCAGTTAAAACTTTTGCCAGCTAGGCGCTACAGGCGAAAAATCAGAGTGCGCCACGTTAGGGGCCGCGCGACATTAGGGTACATCAATAATACTATTAGGTTGATTAATCTCCAATGGAAACATGCATTCTGAGCCATGTTATTACTTGGGTTAATATTGGTCAAGACCCCCATTGGTTTGTACACAGTAGGCCAGGAGATGAGGAAGAAATTGTTGACCGTTTGTGACCTCTTAAATAGTAAGGAGGGTTAATCTAAACTTGAAAAACATTTTTAAAAACGGCTGGTTTTAGCATTTGTTTCTGCTCTGTAACTTTTGGCTGGAACCATTTGTCTTATCAGCCAATCAGAATTGAATTCCCAACTTTAAGTGTAAGGCATTTTATTTATCTATAACTCAACAATAGCTGCTGGAAATCTGTAGAAAACCAGGAATTGTGATTTTCAGAATAAATTGAAGTCGCAAAGCTTAGAAAAAGTGCATTAAGTCTGTTACAACTTGACCTTTTTGCCTGACATTATCAATAAAAAAGGTCAGATCAATGTCTTGCAGAATCTAGATATTTTATTGTATGTGCTGAAGCAGATTTGAAAAAAAAATGGTTTAAAACAAATGTTAAACCAGCCGTTCAACATGTTTTTGTGATGTACCATTAATTGATGTTGAGTACACTTTGATAACTATGGATTTTTCCTCCATCAGGTGACTGATCACATGACTAGAGACGCTGGTTACTGGTGGACGATTCATCAGGCTCATCTTGAAGACTGCTGAAGGGACTTGGCTGGACTGGAGTGGCCTGTGTTAGACAAAAGCAAATCCATGGCAATGACATCTCCCTATCCATCATGCAAGATGTGCATGCATCTTCAAAGGCCAAAATGACAGGCTCTTATGAGAAGGTATTTACATTACAAAACAAAACAGATGTCTGGTTTTGTTTGTGGCAAAACTTCTGTGATAGTTCACCAGGGGCAACTGCAAAGATATCATGAAATTAAACAAATGTTAAAACCAGCCATTCAACGTATATATATTTTTGATGCACAATGAATTCATGTTGAGTACACTTTGATGACTATTTGTTTTTTTCTCCGTCAGGTGACTGATCACATGACTAGAGACGCTGGTTACTGATAGACGTTTCTTCAGGCTCATCTTGAAGACTGCTGAAGGGACTTGGCTGGACTGGAGTGGCCTGTGTTAGACAAAAGCAAATCCATGGAGTTAACAAAAGTTTAAATCAGTAAAAGTTGCATTCCAAGTGCTGTTCAAGGAATATATTTTTTTTCTCATACATTTTCAATTTTTATGTTTGATATCCAACCCCAAAACTCAACTGGACACAATCAGATCCACTTTTTGAGCAGACTAACTCCCGGTCCATACATTATTATTTACGATTGCAAGAATGGAATTATTGTCGAGATGCAAGTAATTCAATCTTTAGGCCGCTTTTTTCCCCCCATGTCTCATTCAAAGTAAATAACGTTTGTTTTGCAAAAAAAATTGCAATGTTATAATACAAATCTATTTTTTCAGGATGAAACTTAAATATAGCACAGGGAATGCAACTTTACACTTTAAAGAAATGTACATGGCAAATAAAATGAAAAATAAATGGAAGAACATTTGTTCCAGGCACGTCACAAATTCTGAATTTGTGTTTTAAACTTAAAGAAGATAACTACACATTGCAAAAATTGTTCAAAAAGGAAACAATTGTTTACATTTTGGCAAGAGGCCTGATTACAGACCTAACTTATTCAGACTTGTCAGTCTTAAGGCGAATACACTCTGTATCCAAATATTTACACTGATAATTCCCTGACTCTTCATTTTGTATTAAAAGTGTTTGCACTTCAGGTCCTTATGGAACAAAACTTGAACCTATAATAGTATTTCCTTTACTTTTTAACGACCTTCACAAATATTACTTGACAAGAACGTCTCAAAGGTTAGAACATTTTAGAATGTTTTGCAATAAGGACTGCTTTTCTTGTTTGGTTGGTTATTTCCTAAAAGAAATTCAGAATTTGTTTGACGTGTGCCTGGTTCATAATGTTCAACTTGTGATAAATTGTACAATGAAAAAAAAACTTTAAATTTTTAATCTTAATATTTACCATGCTTTTAATTATATGGATCTACATGTAGAATGGCACATCATTATTTAGTAGGTGTGTGAATGTCTTTGATGTCTGTTACTGGTAATATTACAGCAATTTAATTAAAGTTGGTGTATCATGTTTTTTCCCAAAATTTCGATTTTCTTTTCCTGAAAATATTGCCCTGCAACAAATAATAGGCCAAATAATAGTCTCTGGTCAGCGCGCGCGTCGATTTTAATCATGCGCGTCAACCTTTTTTTTTCCCATAATGTTCCGCGGTAGCTCCAACAGCGCCCTCTATTGCCGCCCCTCCTCATTTTTTTTTTTACCAAAGAGCACCAAGGAATGGGAAATTGCACCAAGGCAAATGATCGAAGCACCAAGGCAAATTATGGAGGACACCAATGTACATGAGGACACCAAAAAAGCAAAATAGTACCCCACCTTGTCTGTACAATCCAAGCTTGAAGGAAAAAAAAAAAGCCGCGTCAATTCCGGAACTTTGGTCTGACCAGAGACCGAATATTTTTTTTTTGGCCATAAGTTTGTTTTTTAAATTTTTGCAGGCCTTTGATACAGTTTAAAAAAAGGGGTTTTAAACGGCGCGCTCTAGTTCACAAATTGCGCACACTATTCAGAACACATAGCGTTTACTCTTAATTAATTCAAAAGTTGAAATTAATTAATTGATTACTTGTCGTGCGCCTATTTTTGTTCGTGCGATGTCTCATTGGAAAGCTCATAACTAATAATGCTAGAACATCAATTCAATCTCAAAATCTATTTTGCAAGGTGCCACATCGAAAAAGCACATTAACACCAACTTTAAGGTATTCCATTTATAATAAAGTAAATATTGATTAATAAAATTGGAAAAGTTGTTTTTACACTGAGAATCCAGATTTTTGAAACTTGCGGTATAAAGCACACTCATACGGTGGCAACCCAGCTTAGTTGAGAGATTGGTCTTGTTAAAAAGTCGCATGTGACTTGATCGATGTCCGCTACTAAAATTAGATAAACTACAAAACCTTAAATTGTGTGATTCAAAAAGTGATTGTATTCGCTGTAAATTTAGAGGAAGAAATATTACACAAATTGTTTTCTTGTGAGGAAAAACAATGCCAAACTTTAGCTGACTTTACTGAACATTTGAATGTACATGTACATCTAACGCTTTTGTTCCATCACAAATTGAATAGATTTGACTAAGTTTTTATTAATGAAAAGGGTCTGTATTATGATGTGCCATTGTAGATCCATTTGTGACTTTGGTGTGAGTGTCTTTTATTCTTGACATATCTGCTGTCTATTACGCTTTGCGTTCATCTTTGTCATTGCGCATCAACTAACTTCAGGGGCGTAGCAAGGTTATTCTTTTAAAGAGCACTCGCACATCCATGCTGAAATATAGCATCTGCAGCTGGAGGCGCCATTCAAAACAGAAAATTGTACACACTTACGGACAACATATGCGCTTTAAAGGGTGACACATGCGCAAAAAATTAAAAAAAAAAAACACTCGTAATGGCTGCTGCAACAAAAATGGCGCAAGTGTTTCTCTTTTTAAAGCACTTGCTCAAAAAAGGGGCACTTGTAAAAAAAGAGTGCCCCCCTTTTTCTTAAATTGCTTTGAACAAGTCTACCCACTAGTACTTGCGCGTAATAAAAAACTGCGCAACAGCGTCAAAATACTTTGTGAAAATTTGCTTCAAATTCGGTTAAAAAGTAGACAGCAGATGTGTTGACTTAATTTGAATCATGTTGGTGCAAGAGGGCGCACAAATTGAAATGTGATGAGTTAAACACCCCAAATTATGTGTTTCATTTGAAAAAGTTACCCTCTGACTTCGTTAGAGAACAACAAAAAATCATCTATTTTTTAAGATGTTGAGCTTTTCGATCGTGATGCATGCAATTCTGTCCTTTTTTAAAAGACCCATTAGTTAAAGTTGCTCCCTGTACTCTTGAAGCAAATCTCTTTTTCTCGCAACAAATTGTTTTATTTTGATGACATTTTTTTCTAGGGCATCTGCAACCAGTTGGTTAAAAAAGGTTGCTTTTGCACCTCTAATTTAGCGCGTAAAAAGATCTGCCTGAATTATTGTCGCGCCGCTTGCAATTCTAATATTTTCAGTATTGCTGATTAAAACATTATGGTCAATGCATGTCTTATTCCAAAGTAAAAAATAAATGAAGTGAGCCCTCTTGTGCCAACTTGATTATTTTTAAGTCAGTTTATTTAATAATAGAGGGCGTCCTCTATAGTTTGGACTTCCAATTTAATTTTTTTTAATAGTAAGCAGGACACAAGAGGGCGCCCTCTTGTGTGCCCTGCTTTACTTTAAAAAAAATTCAAGTTGGAAGTTCAAACTATAGAGGGCGCCCTTTTAATTTTTAAGTATAGAGGGCGCTATTTGATATAATAAAATACTAGAGAGGAGACAGCACTTTGTTTCATTGTTATTTATTGAAAAGACTGGCCAAAAAAAAAGCCCAACACATGCAAGTCCCCCCGAGGCGTGCACGCACGGTGTTCCCCGCCCACAGACACCGACAAGCCCAGCGAGTCGCCCGCTATCTACATCGACTCATGATCAGTTGATCTTAGTGCGCACTAACTCCCCAAACTTGCAAGTCCAAATAATCGCAAATGACTAAGTTAACTCCAACATGATAAGGATCCTTATGAACTTCGACAATCCGTTTACTTTCCTGACAAAGTCGATGCCTTATTAACCGTTTCAATTACAAAGTATTGCCATGGAAATTATATACCAACTATCACTCCAAAAATTGCCCAAGTAGAGATCTCTCTCACATCTACCCATGATTGTCTCACTCAACATTTCCGTCGTTCACTGTTGCATCATGTTTCTGATCCATTTAAATGAAATGCAAAACAAACAGGCTACAATTTGCCAGCTTTCTCCGATATTTCCAGCGCAATTAGATTTTAGGACATTTATCTCAGCTACCATTTACGTAAATAACTTCCACGATATAACTCTGAAATCTCCCTGCCGTTTAATCACATCAACATGTACATTGATCAGTTCATCTCATGAGTGTGTCATTTCAAAATACGTATAATTTATAAGATTTTCACAAATAATTGTAAGTATTTGGTTTTGACGGACATGCACGTTTAACTTGAATTGGCAAAGACCAAAAAACCAATTCAGCAACTGTTTTACAGGAGGCAGACGTAACCTTTTAAGAGAAGTGACAATATTATCGTCAAATTTGATCTTCAACTTGAAGCTCTAAAGCCTTGCCAATTTTGGAGAGCTTCTTTGTACTTGGGTAGTAAGTACTTGGGTAGTAAGTACATGTACATGCTGTACATGTACATGCTATGTACATGTACATGCTATGTACATGTACATGCTATGTACATGTACATGTACATGTACATAGCATGTACATACATGCTGTACATGTACATCGCATTTTCCATCAGATACACATGTATTCGACTGAATAAAAGTGTCAATTTTGATGTTTTCTGGCAGCACTGATACTAGTTTTAAGAACGTCAGATTTTGCAGACAAGATATAGTTGTGCCAAGTGAATTTAGGTAATTATTTACACTTTAATTTAATTAAATGTTTCAATTTGCAAGTTTGAATTTACCAAAGTTATCTTGGTAGGATTTACAGATTTTAAGAAGTGAGATTTTCTGCCAAAACTTCAACCAATATTTTGGTTGGACAAGTCCAATTTCAAAGCAACTTTTTTCTTTATCTACCTTGTACTCTGAAAGATAGACTTTTTGGTATTCTCTTAAGTCTTAGTAAATTTTGCGCTTAATTTTGTTCTTCCTTTTTCTGACAAAGTTTACGTACATTTTGTACAGTAAAAAGTCAATTTGTTACATGTCTCAAACAGTCCTGATGTATATGGGCAAATACACAACGGTTTCTTCCAGCGGAGAAAAGTGATCGCAATTTGTTCTTTGTGCCATCATAAATATCTTCAACAAAGCTGTTGTACTGTGCACTCAATGTACATGTACATCATTTAATTTGTGCACTCGATGTACATGATGTACATGTTACAATCTAAAACAACCCACACATTTTGATTGGGAGTTTTACGAGAGAGAAATTGGTTGGACTGAAACACATTTGCAGGTTTTCTCTTGGATTTCTCTTGATTTCACACAGTGTTTCAATACTGAGTGATCGTTTTTTTCTTTTCTACGGACATCTGGCCAAACTCTTTTTTCAATACGCAATTTGCACACTAAGTGATTGCTAGCCTATAAAGTTACTGACTCCTCGTACTTTTGTCGAAGGAGTTTTTTGGGGGGATTTTGAGGGGGAGTATTTTGTTTTTACTCCCCATTTTCAACGCGATGTGCCCTTCTGAAGAACCATGCTATTTCCTGGTTAATGTGCAGTGGCGTAGCTCATGGGGATGGGAGGGGCCTTCTAACATTTGGAGGGGGCTGTCTGTCCAATTGGACAAAATGGGATCTATCAAAATCCCATGCTCGGCCCATATTTTGGCCAACTCAGACGGGAAGCCACAAACATGGCAACTAGCCATGTACATTCAAATGATAATTTTAAATTTCAAATTTCATGTTGGCCCCACATGGACAATTGCATGGGCTTCAATTTGCCCCCTCCTGTTTTCTTGTGGCCCCTCCTTCATTCTAGCTACGCCACTGTTGATGTGGTGGCAATCTGCCCCTCAGCATCCTCAGAAGCTGTGGCATCATCATGACACAGGGACAGCCTTGTCCCGCCATGGCCATCCATGGTCAAGTTTAATTGAAGTTTTCATTAATTCATGCACTGTACAATGACAACATACATCCTCATCTGTTTTGCTTGCTAAACCCACATGTGTATCATGGCATTCGGAGTAAACATACAGGGAGAGTCAAAAAGAAAGTGACCTGGATTAACAATTTTTGTTCTAAAAGAGCAATCAAATTTGAAATTTGATACATGTACATCAATGAAACACGTCTTTATTACTGAAATTGATCCATGCTACCAGAAGAACCTATTTTTCTAGCTGTCCATGGAATGGGATATTACACAAGCGGCAATCAAATACAGATGAGATTTGAGTCAAGACTGAAACATTTGTACTGTCCGATTTTGTGAATATGAAGAACAAGTCCACTGTTTTTTCCTGATATACTGGTGACAACTTTTGTCTGTTTTCATTTGCAAGTTTTCGTTCATTCATGGAGGTGGGAAAATGTCCATATTTCATTTGATTTAGTAGAACGGCAAATGACTAATGGTGGACAGTTGAATTTTGTGATTTTTAAAATTAAATTAGACATACCTTAGGAATAAAGTCCGGAAATTGTGTGAAATTTTCACAGTTTCTAGTCAATAACGTGTACTTTATCCCTATGTTATTTGTATGAAATAGAGTGATCCAAACATTTTTTTTTAAACATGTTTTTCTAATTTGGTCACTTTCTTTTTGACTCACTCTGTACTGCTATATGCCTACATTACAACAGATATTGCACATTTATGCTCACATGCAAACCTAGGCAGGCCCCAGGACAAATTAACGGCAGTTTCTGAGATTGAATCTGAAACAAGACACTTGCTACTTAGAAAGAATTTCATTGATGTTTAGGCAACGCACCATGCAAAACTGGGCAAACATCTAGGATTGTTTCTCCTTTTTTTCTCCTTTGAACATTCAAAGTGATGAAGTGGTATTTATACCGAGTGGTATTTATACATCACAAACTGATGTCGGCCACAAATTAAAAATATTCTGCGGGTACATACATGTAGTGCCAAGGATTGGCAGAGTCATTTGTGGCTAAGATTGTCCTGGTTTTTATCTGTTCATATCAATAAGAAATGAGGCCCTGAATTTTTGGCCGTCTTATGTGGTCCCAAACTGCCAACTACATGAAATCAGATATTATTTAATCAGCGAAACTGCCATTCATTTTAAGATTTATCCTGGGACCCACCCCTTACAATCTATAAGACAAGACTGACCTTTAACTTTTAACCACTGAAAAAAGCAACGTAAAAGAGTACTAATTTTACAGGCTAAACATGTCTTTCTTGGGACAATGTTATAAAATGTATCCCTCTTGCAGTTGCATAGAGCCTGGTGTACCTACATGAGCTGAGATTCAACCCAAGTGACGTCAACACAATCACTGACAATCGCTAAGTCCTAGTTATTTCAGATCTCTCTAAGTTGACCCCAGCAAATTTAGGTTTTACTGTAAGTTAGGAACATCATAATAATGCCTTCTTGCAAAGATATTCCTGACAAAATTAAATGTACATACATGTACGGTACCTGTCCAAGTTGGCTATCAACTTCTTTATTTTGAATGGCATTGTGGTTTATAGAACAAACCCTGTAAAGGCAAAAATAAAAACACCCTTTTTCCTGGTGTGCTGACTATATTCCTCTGACTTAAAATCTGACTGTTCTTTTTTGGCTAAAAAAAATGTAATTTCATTTGATATCCTGACTTGATCGTTTAAGAGTTTCTTTTACTCATTAATTCGGCCTTGTCAAAAGCGTGTGGTTAACTTTATTTGTAGTGTTGAACACTTTAATTTGTAGAGCTAGGCACGTTTGTTTAGTTTAGGTACCTACATTTATAACTTGGTTATCTATTATATTGCTCAGATTTTTGACCCTACGTACAATTTTGTGTAATTTACATCAGGTTTTATTCACTGTTCACTGCATTAAACTACTCAATAATGTTCTCATCGATGCTCTTCAGCAGAACTGACATGAAATGCAATGAATCATTATTTATGACGAGGAAAAAAAGATTTAAGATGCTACATGCCGGGCTCAATTTAAAAAAGTACATTTAAACCTGTGTGAAGGATTTATTCAATGCAACATTGAATTCAGAAAGTTTGCTGAAATTTAACTTTAGTAGACTTGTTTATATTACCTTTCAGCGTTTAACTTTTGTTTAAAAAAAAAAGGAAGAAATTACTGAGATTGTTTGGTCAATTTTAAAGAGATTTTAAGCGATTGCACATTTCTTACTGAAAGACCTGCCCTACATGTGTACCAGTATTTTCCCTGCAACCCTCTTAGTACTACTGAATCTAAACTTGACCTGAGCAATGACTAGGAAAACCTTTGACTTTTCTTTTTAACCCTTTAGTGACCTTAGCCTGCCGAGGCAGCAAGAACTGATATTGCCTGTAATGCCAAAGGAGGACCAGCATTCTTGACCTGTCCATCTTTTTTTTCTTCTGTTTAGCTATTTTGGTATTTGATAAAAATCACAACTAACAAAGTTGCCTCGAATAGGAACTGCATTTACAGCTTGCAGGATTTTTGTCAGTTAGTTTAGCATTTGAATAAGTCGCAACTCACAATACCAGCCTTATTAGACAATGCTATTGGCAAACTAGCGTTGTACACTGAGAGAAGTGTGGTCACTAAAGGGTTAAAGCATGGAGCATAGCTAGTCTTCAGTCTGTGGCAATACCAACATGTGTCCTGAAAGATCTTCACCTTATTTGACAAATGACGCACAACGGTTACACCGTCATGCCAAAAACTATATTTCTAGAATTGTATTGGTTGAGAATCAGTCTAATTCTTTGAACTCTTGGGGATGCTTTTTGTTTGAAGGGATCCCTTGAAAAATGCGTTGGAAGACGTGCATCTGAATGATGCACGTTTGAGGTTGCTTACATGTCCATGCAAAGTACATCTCAAGGATCAATGGTTTGGCACTTTAAACTTATGCACAGATGTGCATCAAACCAGATTGGTTTAAGCATTAATTCAAAGATTTATGAAATTTTGAGGATATATTTTATGGCAAGTAGCACCGACTTTTTGTTACATTTTGCAAAACCTACTCATTGACTTTGTTTCTTAGCAGCAAGTTGTACACTGGTCAGATATCAGACTAAGATCCAATTACTGCTCTCTGACGAGACGTTGTACAAACGATGTACATTTACTGCTACATTTTCAAGTGCATATGATCAAATTTGGTCTGAAAGGTAGGGTACAATTTTCTTTTCCAGGCTATCGCACAAAAGTACAAACTGGTCATTAAGAATATATTCAATTGAAAATCGCAAATTTTGATTGCGTCAGAGCTAAGGTGAGGATCTTTCAGGACTCTTTAAGACATTCAGAGTTAAATGTCTTCATTTATAAAACTTATTCTTTGTATAAAGAATACAAACATGTGGATATAAGGCATGACATTTGCTTTAAGCTTTCCATGAGCAAAAATATAGTGAAGCTTTTGCTGCAAGCCTAGATATACAAAGGCTTCATTGAAAGTTGATTCAGTATCACACTTTGCCTAAATTTTCAATGCAAAGAAATGAACACATCAGATCACAATTTTGTGATCACAAAACGGTCCTTTTAAGTAGACCTGGTAGGGGATTTCCCCATGCAACCACCTATCAGGTAGGTGATGAATCTATGGGAGGCTGCAGTGATTGCTCAAGCTCAAGGTTTCATCCAATCATAGGATTGGAGTGCAGAGGTCACAACATTTGACCATGACTTGAGTAGCAGCACTTTGAGTGCTTGCAGTGAGTGTCGAGTCCAGAAAGATTGCTGAGATTGGTTGAGATGTTTGCACACCAATACACTGGTTGCATCTCTATATGAGCGTAGGACTCAATGGACACTCATAAGAAGAGTATTGACAGCTCTTTGTCAATATCAAAAGTTTATGAGGACTGACCAATTCCTAGAATTGTCATGTCAATGCCTTGATCAAATTTTGATTACAGATGACAAATAGCAGATTTTTTGTTTCTCTTACTTTCTTTTTAGTGCCAAATTAAGGCTAATTGGTATTGCCACAGACCGAAGACTATAATGTACAATACTGTTTTCCTGTAATGCAGACAGATAGCGTTTACTCCTAGCCATGAGATACACATTTTACCGTTGGGTTTAGCAAGCAATGAGGATGTACACAGTGCATGAATTCATTCTACAAACTTCAATTAAACTTACCATGGATCCATCTGGCAGGACTGGCTCCCTGTGTCTGACACCACAGCTTCTATATGTTAGGATGCAGGGGGCCTTTTTTGTCCACCACATCTTCCATCTGGCCAGGAAGCAGCATGGTTCTCCCCCTCTGCACACCAGGACTTCTCCCCTACAATTTGAAGAGTTTGGCCTTCTCTCCTTTTTCTCAAAATTTCTGAATTTTTCTCTCAATTTCTGAATTTTTTTTTACTGCTGTTCTGATGATAAATATGATGGCACTGGCCCATTCGTTGATTTATTAGATCGACTTTGTTTCCTTTGTGTTTTCATAAGAGCTTTTTTTATTTTTAAAAGTCACATTTAAGTTGCTTTGAAATAAGGGATGTTTTTCTTTTTTTTTTCACTTTTTTTCTCTTTTTTTCTATTTAACCAAAATCTAGTATTTTGAATGACATAATACGGAAAGATAATATTTGAGGCAGGGAAGCTGCCTTTTTTAAATTTAGGAGTTTTGAATATTATTAGTTTTTTTGTAGGTTTATCAACTCATGTGCTGCCAAAAACTCAAACATTATTTTAAGTTTGCAAAGATTAATTTAAGTGCTACATCAGATGCTGAATTTAGAGAAGATTTAACTGTTGATACAGTTAATTTTAATGGATTTCTATTTGCTATTATTTCCTTATAATTTTTATCCGTGCATGTCTAAGATTTGAACACACTCTATGAGAGAACTGATTGTACATGATGACACAATAAAAGGCAATGAGATTTCAGAGCTATACCATGGAAGTTATTCACATAAATAGCGGCTGAAACACCTGTCTGAAAATCAAACCGCATTAAAAAACATCAGATATACCAGCAACAGTACCCATTTGTTAGCAGATCATTTGGATCAACATGATGCCATGGAACTATTGAAATGCAAGCAGGACATCAAGAGTAGATGCTCGATTGATCTCTAAATTTGCAATCTCCAGATTGATAGATGGTACATAATTTCCACAGCAACACTCAGTAAAGAAACAGCCAAAAAGACATCTCCTTCGCAGAAAGGCAAACTGATTGTCAAAGTTCAAAAGGATCCTTACCATGTTGAAGTCAACCAAGTCATCCACGATTATCCAGACCACAAGCTCAGGAAGTTAGCACACACCTTGAACAACTGACCACTCGCCAATGCAGATAGGGACGACCCACCAGACAAGCCGGCATCTGCGGGCGGGGAACACCGCACATGCACGCCCCGGGGGGACTTGCATGCGTTGGGCTCGAGCATATCATTACATTGCCTGTTGGTAAAACGTCAAGTATATTGGTTGGTTACTCAACAAATTATCATAAAAGATTATGTAATGTACATGTATGTACAGCCAGCACTGGAAGCATCATTTTGTTCTGTTCATTTTTAGAGCGAGGATAAACTTTTGATCATTGGCACTCAGTAAGTAATGAACAGTGGTTTAGCATTTGTTTTTGTATTGCTTGCAAAATGAACAAGTAAAAACTGGATTCTTGAGGTTGTCAACATGCGCGCTTATACAAAAACAGCTACGTGTAAAGGAAACTGTCAAATAACAGTTATTTTTGCTATTTTGTGAGTGTTTTCGCTTTGAAATGGAAAATACGCAGTTTGCAACTTTTTGGAAAATGTGTGATTAACGCCAATATTTTTCATTCACAGCCAAACTTTGTCTTAATACATTGGACCAGTGCTGACTATACTTGATAAACAAAAGCTGGGTACAAGATTGGCACGGCTGCTGATAGTAGGTAGCTAAGTTATGATGTACTGGAAAATGCATCAAGGATTTTGAAAAACTCATTTGTGAAGACAAATTTGGAGATATAGAAACAAAAAGTTAATTTTGTATATTTGTTGGCAACATTGGAGTTTTGACAGAGTATTTCCAGCTCATAGTTTTAATGCAAGGAAATTTGGATTTTGGGGAATCTAAAAAAGTTTTTGATTTAAATTTGAACCAAATTTTAGTCTAAATGAGAGATTCAATACAGCAAATATCAAAAGTTTGGTTCAAAGAAGTGGGTTCAAATTGCGCGCAAACATAGTTTGTTTTAAAGAATTTTGTTGGAGAGAAACCAATCTTGCACCCAGCTATTACCAATCAGGCAATGCCATTAAGAAATATTTCAGATTAAAATATCAATTAAACGTAACCAGCTCTCTCTGTTATAAACATTGTATCATAAACATTTCTCTATGAGGATTTCTGCATTTTAAGCAGTCCTTTGTTTTAGCGAATATTGTCCAATAAATAGTTTGATTCTTTCAAAAATGCACTAAACAAGAATGCAACTTTAGGAAATTGAAATGCAGCGCTTAAACTGTCCTTTTTTTGCAATAAGTGACCGTTTCAAGCTAATGAATAGAACTGAATTTGGTCAATGAAACAATTACCTAATCACTTTTATGAACTGCGCTTGAACAACTGATTGCTGTGAGAGGCTGGTTACGTGGCATTTGTAGAGGCCTCTCCTCCATTTTCATAAATTGTGGTTTGATTTGATCTCAGCTATGAGTGTCATCAATTGTATATCCACCAAAAAAGAAAAGCACATTTTGAAGGCTATTCTGCAACACTTTTCTTTGCAGACAAAATTTTAGAGGATCATGTCCCATTTTTTTGTTAAATACATGACTTTTGCACTTCTCCATCATCAAATACTGTGAACGACAAATTTTGCGTCAGCTTTTCAATATTCTTGACATCTTTCAAACTGTGGTTACCCGAGGCAACCCATTTTGCATAAAGGCCACAGAGGTGATTTCTGAAGACCTCTAGTGACCTTCAGGAGAAAGAGACCTCTACTTCTTAAATATAAGACGTCTTTTCAAAAGAGTTCCATTTCAAACAAGTTCCGTCTCGAAAGAGTTCCGTTTCGAAAGAGTTCCGTTTCAAAAGAGTTCCGTTTCAAAAGAGTTCCGTTTCAAAAGAGTTCCATTTCAAGAGAGTTCCGTTTCAAAAGAGTTCAGTATCGAAAGAGTTCCGTTTCAAAAGAGGTCCTTTTCAAAAGAGTTTCATTTCAAAATTGTTCGTTTCAAAAGAGTTCCGTTTCAAAAGAGTTCTGTTTCAAATCAGCTCCGTTTCAAAAGAGTTCCGTTTCAATTCAGCTCTGTTTCAACAGAGTTCTGTTTCAAAAGAGTTCCGTTTTAAAAGAGTTCCGTTTCAAAAGAGTTCTGTTTCAAATCAGCTGCTTCAAAAGAGGTCCTTTCAAAAGATCTCCGTTTCAAAAGATCTCCGTTTCAAAAGAGTTCCATTTCAAAAGAGTTCCATTTCCATATAGTTCAAGTTCAAGAGAGTTCCATTTCATAAGGGTGTATTTCACAAGTCAGTTCAGAGCTGAGGTATAATCTCATGATGGGTCCGATGGTGATCTCATGATTTCTGGTGTATGACTAGTCCATGTGTATATTGCTCTCATTTCTCAGTAGGTTTCTAAACATTTGGGCCGACCATTGCAGGTACACAGGTTCGGGAGTGGAGTGTTGAAAGTTACACTTTCTCAAATCAGGGAAAAACACGGCTTTCTCAAGACGCTTGTGAGGACATCCATGCGTCCAGCAAAACAAAAATTTCACATCTCACGACACACTGAGGTTGAGAGTAGAAAGGTTCCAGGTGATTATTATGGAAGGAGACAAAATTGTTCTTGTACAAGTCCTGCTGTCCGTGTTGTAGCTTGTGAAGTCCATGTAGTCAATATGCAGATCCAATGGAGATGTACATGTACAGGGGAGTATCTTTGAAGAGATATCAGTGTTGCTGAATGGCATCTCAAAACATCCAGGCAAGAGAGATCTCCAGATCATCTCAGACTGTTTCATGTTGGCTTTCAGGAATCAATGGTTGTGATCGGTAGTCAGATTTCCTGCGACTGAAACTGGGGCAGCTTATCCGATCCAATGTTGATTGCTTGCAAGTCACAAGCAGCTTGCTGTAGCGACATCCAGCAGTTTGAGAAAGATGAATTCCTGCCTACTGGAGGTGTTTCTTGATGTCAACTTGTAGGTTTTGTTGTTGTGCAAATCCTGCTGGTCGTGTTGTAGTTCGTGAAGTCCATGTAGTCCATATGCAGATACCATGGAGATGAACAGGGGAGTATCTTTGAAGTGATATCTGTGTTGCTGAATGGCATCTCACAACATCCAAGCAAGAGAGATCTCCACATCATCTCAGACTGTTTCATGTTGGCTTTCAGGAATCAGTGGTTGTAATGGTTACAATAGTCAGGTTTCCTGCGACTGAAACTGGGCAGCTAATCAGATTCAATGTTGGTTTGTAGTAGCTTGAGAACGATGAACTTCTGCTGACTGAAGTTTACGATATCAACTTGTAGGCTTATTTGGCAATCAACAATGCTGGTTTAGAAATCACTCCAGTCTGAGCTGCCAGGGTGGTGCTGGGTCGAAGAATCTGTGTTAAAAAAAGGAAACGAAACAGGAGGTTTACAAATTTGCCAGGAGACTACAACATCTGCAAATGGTTTCAACTGCTATGATCATAAACAAAGGCACAACAAAACTGATTTCTGGTGACATCAAAGGAAAAGCATTTAAAAAAGTGGCTTTACGTTTGGTAGGAAAAACACACCTCTATGGATTCAAACAGAAAGTCATTGGTTGCTAAATAAATAACAATCGATGAAGTCTGAAGATTAGTCCGTTTTGAAAGACCAAATCTTAAAAGCCTGTTTTTCACGTTTCATCTAGTGTTTGTTAACAATTGAGGGGGCTTTGTGGCCCATCAGTGGCCGGTAGACAGTAAATTTCTGCTTCAGTGACCTGTTCTTTGAACTGGTTTTAGTCCTTTTGTTTGAAAATCACAGGCGTGTGAAAAAAGGCACACCTGGATGTTTCTAGGCGTGTGATTTTTCTAGGCGTGTGATTTTTCTAGGCGTGTGATTTTTCTAGGCGTGTGATTCCATGGACCAAACTGAGACTGAACAATCTGACATTTTGTTATAATATTCATCTTCGTCCTTGGTTTACAGTAATGCCATTTCAGGAGCAACTGCAGTGTCAGTCATGAGATAATTCTCCGGACGTTTTTAGGTGTGTAATGGCGTGTGGGAACTATCACACGCCTCAAATCAGAAAGACTGTTGTTTTATACAGTATTCACAGTAATGTTAACCCTAACCCCTTAAACTTCCTCAGGACTACCCTGCTAAATCCAACAGAGTCCAACCAGACTTTCCTGTTCAATCCACTGTGCCTCATTTTCAGTTGTCTGCTGAATCCAACGGAGTCCAACATGGCGTTATAATGCGGTTCAGTTGCCTGCTGAATCCAACATTTTGCATGAGGAATGTACACAAGGGGTTTACTGCTCAATCCAACAGGCTCCATCGGGTATGTGACATAGTTGGATCCTGTTGGAGTCAGCAGGGTTAGGGTTTTAACAGAAGTAAACAGACTTCAAGTACCGGTACTACTAAAGTTAGATTTGCAAGCACTTACCATGCCTGTGTAGTTCCTGTGCTTGGCATGACAATCAATGACAGTTGTGGAAGGTTAGACCAGGCTGGATACGTCTACCATCCATGTGTAGGTTCATGATGGTCTTCATGGTCATCTGTTATCCAACAAAGAAATTTCAACACAAAATTTTATTCACATGTATCAATCAATTTTGGAAATCAATTTTAAACAACACTTTTTCTTGTCTTCTTGTTATGCGGTCTGCAGAATCCCTAAATGAATGCTTGGTACCCCTACAAACTAACTTAAAATACAAGAGATACACCTTTTTAGCCATTTTGTCAAAAAGCTTTACAAATCGACCCTGAGCTAAACTAGCCTTGGTCAGGGCGTTCGACAGTAGAGTCCGCTGATCGATAGTTTACTGTGAACAACAGAAGCTGTATGCTATGCTGCTCGCCTCAGGGATGTTGCAAGGTGTTAGTTTAGCAACGGCTGATTGGCATATAGCCTAGCTCCCTGAGGCCGCTTTTCGCACTTTGTACAGTATATGTGATTGCATAGCATGCAGCTACTGTTTTGCTTGCGGCCGACCATCGATCATTGGACTCTATCATCAAACGCCTTGACCAAGGCTAGAGGTATACATGAATGATTGAGCTTGGGTCACACTTTTATCAATCATTTCATGTACATGTACCACACAAAGTCATACCCCCAAAATGTATGTTTTGTTTTTTGTGTGGCCAATAAATCTGAATTTTAAGTTTCAGAAACATGCACCAAAAATACATAATATTAACACTAACAGCCCATTCCTTGAGCAGATATTACCAAAGTGATGCAAAATAAAAACTAAAATCATTTTCTAACAAGATCAATTCTAGACGTGATCCGCTGATAAAATGATTGATGTGGTTACATACCTATAGAAGTACACACTATCACTGCAAGCCATGCTTTGTGCTGACGTGAAGCTACATGTATTGCATCATATTGAAGCGGCTGGATGACAACTTGACAAGTCTGACAGACCTGCAAGGGGTTCAAATAAAGAAATGGGCGAAAGAGTAAATAAATTATAAAGTGAAGACTTTTACAGGACTTGTTGATGTTAATTTGGGCAATAAATTAATTTGCACAAAATCCGACAATTACATGAGAAAGTCTCAAGAAACTAACAAAAAAATTTGGATTTTGTAGGATTCTGCAATGCAGAGTAATTTATTAATATTTTTTGTTAATATAATGTTTGAATGCTCATCGAAGTTTAGTTGAGCATTCCAAAACCTCCAAAATCCTCTTTGCGAAAATGGAGGATTTTGCAGGATTGAGGCAATATGGCAAACATGTGTGGCTGATTTAGAGGATGCACTGTGTCAAGGTCTTGGACCGGATCTTGCGTTGTTTCTGCTTAGCCGGGCATAAATGTAGGCCTAAATAATATTTGAAATCCTCCACACTTTTTCAGGATGTCACTGGCTCTGCCTCAACATATTGACAGTGATTGCTGGAGGATTTTGCAGGATTGAGGCAGTGGCCACCCCTCCAAGGACCACATTCAAGAAATAACGGATGATTTTGAAGGATTGAGGCAGTATGCAATATATGGAGACAGTTGGAGGAGTTTGCAGGATGCCTTGGGAGTTAGAGTTAGCGGAAAACATGTAAACCATATACCATAGTATGTGGAAACATCTCAATTTTATGGGACTAAACTATGTTTTGGGATATCTTTTGTAACCGAGAATAGTATATTTAGAAATAATAAAAGTTTTGCAAAATAATGAAAGTTTGTGCAGCTGCCGCGAGGATCCGAGAGGTGCGGGCAGTGGACGCAATTCTAAAATGGAAGGATTCCCATATCTGGCCATCACTTGTCAGTTGTCAATGTCATCCTGTGCACAAACCCTAATATGAGACTGGTGTTTTCTCAGTAAATATTTCAATATTTTCCCTGCAAATTTGGACTTTTGATTTGACAATGTTTGAGGACATTATCACTTTCTGATTGCTGATCATTGATAGGTCATTGAAGGGAAAAATTAGTGATGGCCAGATATGGGAATCTTTCCTCTAAAACTTTCATTCTCATGGCCTCGGCTAGCTAAGCAAATTTAACAAGCAAATACGGATGACAGAATTAAGCCTAGTTAATTATATTTTTTTATAAATCATCAAATGGTCACTGTTATTAGGGATTTCATGTTCATGTTGTGCGCTTTCTTGCAATTCACGCAATCTTAAGAATGAGCGCGCATTCTTAAGAACGAGCGCGCATTCTTAAGAATGAGCACGCATGGGAATATCACGTGCGCAATTTATGAATTTTGCGCAATGTTAACAAACATTGAATGGCATAATTTTGTTAAATGAAATGCATAGCGGTTAAAGGGGAAATAATTCATATAACGAGGAGAGAAAATGATCTATGCTTCTGTACTCGTATAACTACGATAATTTGAATCAACTTAAACCTGTTATTATTGCTTTTTTTCTGCCCACTATGGGAAGTTTTGTAATAACGGAGGACTGGAAACTAGTCTGGGAAGTGTTTTGTATAGGCTAGACAAGTTACAAGTCCCTGTATATGTATCATATGCATGTCACGAAAAAACGATGTCCAGAAGCTGCCAAAATTGCTCTGTTGACTAGATAGAATCCACCTCTGTGGCGTAATGGTGGGGGTGTGAACAATTAATTGGTGGCAATTTAAGTGGCAAATAGCATTAGCGCTATGGGATATATGGACTATTATAATGTCTCTTACTTTTTTCGGTCCCCCGAATATGTGTATACTTTCATATCCACTCTACTTTTCATCGTTAAATCTTTTCCTAGGTAAGTGACCTTGCGTTGCAAGAGTATAATTATTAAGAATCAGTGAACAAGGACGCAGCTAGACTTGCCAAGCGCAGCCGGTGCTCGGCATTGAAAAGACTGTTATCTTGTCACGCATTCTTAAGAATGTGCACTCAAACTGGAAGATTTTTTTTCCGAAGATTGTGCAAGGATCCAGTTGCGCAATAAAAGTGCGCATGCGCATTCTTATGATTGCGCAAATCACAAGAAGAAAGCGCACAACATTCATATTTTATTTCATGCAAAAAAAATAATAAGGCTTCCACCATTGTCCACAGACATAAAACCACTGGACATGCTGGAAGTGTACCACTAGTTAGTCACCAGGGGGCCAGGGTGAACTTTCAGCCTCTATGGGGCAAGTGGTAATGGGGCGAAGTGGTTCAGGGTGAAATGACGTATGGGGCGAAATGGAAATGGGGCGAAGTGACCGACAAATGACAATGAATGACCGACTCCCCGCTAACAAATTGGTATTGGCCACGGTTTAAGACCCATACGTCTCTATTATTAGACCGACTGCAGATATGAGAGAAATGAAAATATTCCATATCACACTATACTCACATTTATGGCTGTTATATCGAAAAGTTTGGCATTGGTGTGATAAAAAAATTGAGAAATCTGCAGTCAAATCTGCCGCTAAATTTCGTACAAGATGGCGACGACAAATTAATTCGTTAGTTCGAGAACTAGGCGCGGCAGAAAGCCGTTATCCGTTTATTTCACTCCTCCACTAATTGCACATGCACGGATGCTGCACAACCATGGAGCTATAAAACACAATAGACCGCTTGCAGACGCGTTCGATAATGGACGCGCAAAGGCGCGCGACGCCATGTTGTGGGACAAGCGTATATCTATCCATGCACATTTTGTCCCACAACATGGCGTCGCGCACCTTCGCGCGTCAATTATCGATCGCGTCTGCAAGCGGTCTATAGACCGCTTGCAGATGCGTTCGATAATCGACGCGCGAAGGCGCGCGACGCCATGTTTTGGGACAGGCGTATATCAATCCATGCACATGTTGTCCCATAACATGGCGTCGTGCACCTTCGCGCGTCAATTATCGATCGCGTCTGCAAGCGGTCTATAGCTTCATGGCACAACTGAACAAAAAGAACAAACTCGTTTCCGATGCCTCCGGAAATACAAAATGGATTAAATTGAAATTTCGTGCGCTTAGTTTTCACGATGTGTAGCATGAGTAGTTTGAATGGCGTGAAAAACCGTGGAGTTATAAATACAATATGATCGTAACAATCTAGTGTTTTAAACGTTAAAAATCCATGTTGACTTCCATTAGGATTGTATTTGTTGCAAAGAAAATCCTGTATTGTTACGGTCATATTAGCTTGATTAATGGACTTATTTTTATGAAATGAAATATTTTGATGCCAAACATCATGACAAATGAGTGTGCAAAAATTCATTTTAATGTAAACGTGTATTTCTTGAGTTGTTGGCCCGAAATCGGGTTTGGTGATGGAGATCGAGACCACTATAATAGAGGGCGCGCCAAATAAATAGTGGTCTCGGCAACGCATCAACACGGATGCTGCACAAGTGAACAAAACGAACAACCTCGTTTCCGATGAACTACTCAAGAAATACAAAATGGATTAAATTGAAATTTCGTGCAATTAGTTTTCACGATGTGTAGCATAGGTGGTTTGAATGTTGTGAAAAACAGAGGAGCTTTAAATACAATATGATCGTAACAATCTAGTGTTTAAAACGTTAAAAATCCATGTTGACTTCCATTAGGATTGTATTTGTTGCAAATAAAATCCTGTATTGTTACGGTCATAATAGCTTGATTAATTGACGTTTTTTTAGGAAATGAAATCTTTTGATGTCAAACATCATGACAAATGAGTGTACGAAAATTCATTTAAATGTAACGTGTATTTCTTGAGTTATTGGCCCGAAATCGGGTATGCAAATAAAATCCTGTATTGTTGCTTTCATAATAGCTTGATAATTTGACGTTTTTATTATGAAATGAAATCTTTTGATGTCAAACATCGTGACAAATGAGTGTACGAAAATTCATTTGAATATAACGTGTATTCAGTGGCGTAGCCAGGAATTTTTTAGTGGGGGGGGGGGGGGGTCGCTGGGGGGGCTGGAACATTTCATGGGGGGGGGCGTCATGAAGATCAATGATAATTTTTTTAGAAACTCAAAATCTCAGGGGGGGGGGGGGGTGGGGGCGACTGGGGGGGGGGGCTGACAAGATTTCATGTGGGGGGGGGGGGCTATCGCCCCCACGCCCCCCGTGGCTACGCCACTGCGTGTATTTCTTGAGTTGTTGGCCCCAAATCGAGTTTGGTGGTGGAGATCGAGACCACTATAATAGAGGGCGCGCCACATAAATAGTGGTCTCAACAACGCATCAATACGGATGCTGCACAAGTGAAGAAAAAGAACAACCTCGTTTCCGATGAACTACTCAAGAAATACAAAATGGATTAAATTGAAATTTTGCGCAATTAGTTTTCACGATGTGTAGCATGAGTAGTTTGAATGGCGTGAGAAACAGAGGAGCTATAAATACAATATGATCGTAACAATCTAGTGTTTTAAACGTTAAAAATCCATGTTGACTTACATTAGGATTGTATTTGTTGCAATTAAAATCCTGTATTGTTACGGTCATAATAGCTTGATAATTTGACGTTTTTATTATGAAATGAAATCTTTTGATGTCAAACATCGTGACAAATGAGTGTACGAAAATTCATTTTAATATAACCGTTATTCAGTGGCGTAGCCAGGAATTTTTTAGTTGGGGGGTGTGGAATGTAATTCTGTCCGGCCCCCGGTAAAACTGTCCGGGGGGGGGGGACAGAATTACCTAGGTAAAAGTGTCCTCCCCGGCCCGTTAATTCCGTCCCCCTCTAGGTAATTCTGCCCCCCCGGGTTTTGTGTCCCCCTCTTTTGAAACCCGGAAGGCCAGTTCTCTTCATTGTTTTTATGAATTCACTCTACAAGGTATACATTTTGGACTTTTAGTCTGCCCTTCATGAATATAAAAATATTTAATTTGGTCTAATAGATGATAATGTGAACACAACTTATTTACGTGCTGCTCTCAGTATATACTGCATAGGGACACATTTACCAGGGGGACACTTTCACCGTTGGGCAGGGGGACAAATTTACCTGGAGGGGGACAAATCTACCTAGGTACACATTTACCGGGTCACGAGCCGGTAAATGTGTCCGGGGGACACATTTACCAGGGGGACAGAATTACCTGTCACGCTTCCGGACCATCGGACGAAGTTTCGCTCGTCTGTCAAGAGAGGGCGGTATCTAACGGCCTTCACGCAAAATCATGGCAGACGACGGGAGTGTGGCAAGAGCAAGAAACACACGAGAGGGGCCGGGGAAACTCTCCAAATCAGAGAGGAAACTTGCTCGAAAACAGGCAAAATCAAGGCATACACTGCTAAGACATGAGGGAATCCATGCAGCAAAGTTACCTACTAAAGTAAGGAGTTCCTATGAGTGTTTGTAGAAAGAATATCGTAGTTCGTACCATTTATAGCCTACCCGAATTACCTCGAAAAAGCATTAGGCCTACAGATATAGGTCTGGTACCTTTTTGAATTCCATTAATTAAGTACATACCGGCGTCTAGGGCACTGGTGTTACTAACGTTAGTCCGAAAATACAAAAAAGTATATCCAAAAATTACTTTGGGGGGGGGGGGGGGATTAAACATTTCGAAGAAGAAAATTAAAAATAAAAATAACCATAATATTTAATAAATGATTGAACAATCATTATGCACTGATATGGCATTAGTTACTTTTTTGCCTGCACTCTATGTTTTGTAACAAAGTTGACAAAAATGGAAGGCCAGATTAATTTTTCTTTTCTGTACATTCTTGGCTCTGGCGGATTGTTCTTACATTTTAGACATTTAGTTGACAACTGATCCGTGGGCAATGGTCAACTTCCGTAAAAAAAAAAAAACAATGGTGAAAAAAATAGAGGGGTCCTAATTTTGTTGTCTTTTCTACCAAGCACTTGATAGTCGGCAATGGCGGTCTTGGTAATGGGGTCAGTCGCAACGACCTCAAGCCTCTCTTCAGCCAATATGGTCAGCTGACAGACATTGTTATGTTGCCAGGGAAACCATACAGCATCATCTGCTATGCATCAGTAGAGGAGGCAGTCAAGGCTCACGACTGCTTACAGGGATGGCAACTCCGTCCACCTGATGGACCCACTGCTGCTGTCATACTGTATCTCTCTTTCATCAACGAAGGTATTTTTTTGTATTTTGTTATTTTAACATTGCTCTTTTTTTGGGGGGGGGGGATGGTACGCTGGTTGTTTTCCTCATTTTGTGTGTGTGGTCATTTCAGTGTAACAGTGCACATTGTGTAAAGATCAGAAATTTTCATTTGCGTTTTTTTTTTAGTTCCACTACCTAAGATGACAAGCGGCCAGCACAGCCTGCCTCCAGGGCTGATCCTCCTTGAGAACTTCATCGACGTTGAGACGGAGGCGGCACTGATGGGAGAGATGTTGTGGGAGCAAGGAGACCAATCTGAAGAGGCGGGTAAGTGGCAGTCACAAGTAAATCACGAGCAAGTCACAAGTGAGTCACAAGCAACAAGGGATGAACAATAACAAAGGAATGTCCTCGTCTAAGTTCATCAATTGTGACTTGACGTGGAATTCTTGTGTTTTACTTGTGGTGGACTTGTGAGAACCTGTGATGGACTTGTGAGAACTTGTGGTGGACTTGTGATGAGACTTGTGATGAGACTTGTGATGGACTTGTGATTGACTTGTGAGAACTTGTAATGGACTTATCATGGACTTGCAGTGGACTTGTTAGGACTTGTGATAAACTTGTGAGGACTTGTGATTGACTTGTGAGGACTTGTAATGGACTTGTTTGGACTCAAACCAATACTAAGAACATCCACATCCTTCAGTTTAATGGGTGGAGCCAGTTGAAAATTAGGGGAATTCCATATTTTTTTCATGTCTGTATTTTAAGCTATGCACACTTTAACTCCTCAAAACAGTGAAAAACTGATTGGATGGATGTTATCAACGTGCATACCAACAGTTAATTTCAAACCATGACTTAAAAACCAACATTCACAAGGTGTTACTCCAACTCTGTCTCTATTTTTATTAAATTTATAAAATCTTCTTTCAAATTCTCTTTTTTTTGGCAGTCCGGTCGACTCTGAAACACAGGAAAGTCAAGCATTTTGGTTACGAGTTTAACTACGCCACCAACAACGTAGATAAGGACAGTCCAATCCCTGAACCGGTACCTCCTCTGTACGTGGACGTCATCGACAGAATTATGGCAACGGGACTGGTTCAGAACAGGCCTGACCAGATTACAGTCAATGAGTACCAACCGGGACAAGGTAAGAAAAAAATTCAGAAACAAATAAAAACGGGACCAAAAAATTTTCCTGTTTTTCAAAGGGACATTCACAGTACAAGTATTTCATTTGAAGAGGCCACTGTCAACTTATTGAGTTAAATCGTACATTGTCCCTTACAAGGAGAGTCTTTTTGATGTTCAGAAGATTTTGTGTTTAATATGTCAACTCAACCTGTTTCCCCAACTTCCATTTTCTTTGCAGGTATACCTCCTCATGTGGACACCCACTCGGCTTTCCAAGAAGCCATCATTTCTCTCAGCCTTGGCTCACAGGTTAGTCGTCTCGAAAATTCATTCGCAAAACTCCCAATGAACTGAATTGCTCTGTAACATTGACTTCCTCCAATAATGTTCTGTGTCTTGACCAGTTCACGCCGGGATTATTTTGACAAGAACGGAACGAGGTGCAGGATTATTTTTCACTCGACTTCAAGCCAGGCGGGTTGAAGCCATCACCCTCGGGCAGCACACTTGTATTTCCGGCCTCGCTCACTGCGTGTTTATCTGTCATTCGTTCCGAATACCGCAAAAATTTTGCGTGTATAAACAGCCTCCGGCGTGAACTGGTTAAGCAAGATTTGTGCACTCAAATAGCAGCTCTTCTGTCTTGTGAATTGCTTGAATTGTATTGATTTTTCCCAGGTCTTAATGGAGTTTAGTAATCCAACCACTGGCCGCCAGGTTCCAGTTTTTCTGCCGCGACGCAGTCTTCTTATCATGACTGGAGAAGCCAGATACCTCTGGTCACATGGGTAAGGCCGCATCCACACTACTGGCTACGGCCAGTGTAGTGTAAAATCTTGACTCTGTGAAATTTGGACTAATTGGTTGTATTGCGCATGCTTAAGAGAAGATAATTAGGAAAGTCACAGGTCACATGTCATAGTTAGATTCCATATAAGATAAGAGAGACCAGATCACATGAGTCAAAATTTCATATGACACCAGCAGTATCACACTTGTCTTTAACTTCATCATGAGACTTTTCTGCCAGAACAAATAATTACTGATATTGCACTTAATTATGAAATTCCCGAGTCCAGTGTGCTGTGGTGTGAGAATGGTTTCTTACACAATTGGACAACTTTGTTAACAGCTGTGCATTATCTATAACTGGAAGTGCAACTTTGCATCCATTTAGCATTATTTAATATGTCAAGTTTAACTTTACGATCGAATTCACTGAAAGTCAGCGAAAGGGTTAAACAACTTTTGTGCACATAAAACGTATTGGCATTTTTGATTTAATAGCATCCTTTACTGACCTCATTAATCATGCATTATTTTCAGGATTACTCCAAGAAAGAGTGACGTCATTCCGGCTCACGTCGATTTGACCAATGGCAGCCCGGCGTCTCATGACGTCACAGAGAACGACGACGGACTTACGCTGTTGCATCGTGGGGTCAGGAGGTCGCTGACCTTCAGAGCTGTCAGGGGAGCTCCGTGTCACTGTGGTGAGATAAAAACCAGGGGGCGGGGCTAGAGATGGAGAATAGGGGCGGCATGACAGAAACGGAATTGAAGTTGGTTGTTCATCCAGCAACTTGAAAACTTGTATTGAAATTTGAGTTTTTTTCTTTCATGATTTTTTTTTCATTTTTAATTTCTCAGCTTACCCAAGTCGCTGTGACACGCGGCTCAGCTCTGCAAACTCCGACCCCCTCGCTGCATCTCCAGCCGCCCCCTCCCTGCCGACCTCTGACCTCCAGGCCCTGCATCTAGAGACCACCCATGTCCATCAGGTCTATGACACCATCGCCGGTCACTTCAGCCAGACCAGGCACAAGCCCTGGCCCCGGGTCCTAGAATTCCTACAATCTCTGCCGGCTGGGAGTGTTATGCTTGACGTCGGTGAGAACAAAGCATTTTTCATTGTCTGCTCAGTAAAACTGGATCTGCACACCAATTCTTTCACAAGAGGGGTTCTCAAAATGCAGGATGTTCAAAAACGTGTCCTGGGCAAGGCCACTCGTTTTAATGGGAAATTTACTGGGAACAGCCTGCAGCTGATTTAGGGAATTCTTGTGCAACTGCTCAAGTCTACTTACACTACATTTTGTTGTGAAGACTTGGGGAATACGATCATTTTACAGAGATTGCAAAAAGTTTTAGTCAGCCAACCGGCATGAAAAATAACTGCTTAACTTATTCATTTGTAATGGTGATGTAAGTTGAGGCATACCGATTGTAAATGGATGTTTTATTAGGCAAGATCATAATTTAACCTGTTATCTGTTAACTTTATAGGTTGATGTAGGAGGTCCAAAAACCCATGGCTTTGAGTATGAGATACTGGTTTGCCTGTGAGGGAATTTTCTTTTACAAAATATTTATGATTGATTGCAGGTTGTGGAAATGGTAAATATCTGGATGGAAACCCGAGCGTATTTTCGGTGAGTGTTTCAATTTTGCAAATTGACTTCTTTTTTTATATTGTACGTGAAAAACACATAACTTCCTCCAAATACAATAATGTGTTACTTATTAATTAACTTTGCAAGCACTGATTCATCCACATAATAGTTTCATGCACCTGTTTTATACAAATTAGATTGGTTGTGACCGGAGTGTCAAGCTAGTTGAGATCTGTAAGGAGCGGCATTTCCAGGCGTTCAGCTGCGACGGTTTGAATCTGCCAATCAGGAGCTCCAGCATGGATGCCTGCATCTGCATTGCCGTCATACATCACTTCTCGACTCAGGTAAGCAACTTGGACATTGGTACTTATTAGATCATGACATTTGGTAGCTCGGTGACCTCGGTAGCCCGACCTCACTTGTATTTTGTGTATTTCGTTGACAGAATCGTCGGCTGGCAGCCGTCAGAGAGATGGCCCGTGTGCTGAGGCCAGAAGGTCTGGGGCTTATCTACGTGTGGGCCAAGGAACAAGAGAAAGACAGGAAGAAATCCCACTACATCAGCAACGCAACTCACAAGAAGAAAAAGAGCGCTCTGACCGCAGTGGCTGACGGGATAGACAAAGACGACACTGGGCTGTGCCAGGATGAAGAATTGAAAGACGACAGACCAAAAAGAAGTGTGGATATTCAACAATCTGAACGATTGTCGACAGAAGACGAGACATCTAATTGCCGTAACGTTCCGTCGGGTTGCCTTTCCATGAACGCTGCTTCAACTGATCACACTAGAACTGAAGTAGAACATTGTACCATGACTAGTGAATTTCAAAATCCACTTGGACCTGACGAAACACTTGAATCAAATGCTTCTCCATCACTTTCTGGAGATAGCGGTGCCAGTAGTGAACGTCCGGAATTCACGAGTGACAAATCAAGCGTACAACCAAAAGGTGCAAGTACGCTTTTATCGATACACAAAAACCGGACAGAGTTTGAAAGCCAGGACATGCTGGTCCCCTGGCACCTCAAAAAGCAGCCCAGCAAAAAAGACAGCTGCGCACCCCTGCAGGAGAATGGTCCAGCCGGGGAGGATGATTCCCCAGTGTACCACAGGTTCTACCATGTGTTCCATGAAGGGGAGTTGGAGGAACTGTGCGGGCTGGTTGACCGGGTGGAAATCAAAAGCTCACATTATGACCAAGGAAATTGGGGCATTGTCATTAGGAAGTTGTAGGTTATAACATGATTGCTTGCCAGGACAGAAACACAGCACTCTACACTGATGCTTTTGCCGAATGGAAGTACAGATGCCATAAACCGTTAATTATTATAATAAGCCATTAATTTAATAATAAATGGCACACTGGCTCAGATCAAGAGCATGCGCAATGTTTAAAAGCTAACCTATTGAAATCTGAAACTATGCTTTCTGCGATGCTTGTTTCAAAATCTATAACATTTAACTTTAAGTAAAAATCTACACAGTATAAATAATATGAGGTTTAATAAAATGCAAGAACTATTTTAGCAAATAAGTGTCTACAAGTTGCAAGTTCTGATTTCATTTCCTTGTTTCTAACAAATTAACAATTGTCGCTAACAAATTGGGAGACTCTTAGGTTAAAAAGAATACAAAAAAATCTTTTATCATCCAACGGCATCATTGCATTGACTGGATTAAGATAAGCCATTACAGAAAAGGAGTTGAAATCTGCTACAATTTAAAATAAATATTTTTCTCTAGAGCAATAACCATACAATTTTATACATGTACATGTTTTGTAACAAACTACTGCAACCGTAACAAAACAGTTTAACTCTAAAACAAACAAAAATACTTCATGCGTTTTGGTGTCTAAACAGGCTACACATTACTTCTAAAGAAGGATGGTGTGAATGCAACAATCCCAACATGGTTTGACATGTTTTGCAGCATCTTTCGGACCAGTAGAGCACAATCACACATGCTGCCTTCTGGCCCTAAAACAGGCCTGGTGACAACACATACTTTCGTTTCTAAGCCAATTTAACCCCCATTGGATCCAACCAGGTTCGGGCAGGTGGATTTCATGATGCATTGACCCTCGTGGAACGCCAAGCCGGCTGCACACTGGCAGCGCGCCACGCAGGGCAACCGCCGACACAACTCGATCAGATTGGCCGTGTTGTAGCAGGTCTCCAGGCAGGGCGGGCCGCAGTCATCGAAGATCATGGTTTCAGGGCAGTCCATACCTGCCAAAAGAAACACGAGAGAGTTTATGTAAAAGTTAAATTCCGCAATCTGTTAAATTCTCTTCAAAATGCCCAGGAAAATCTACACCCGAAGCCAACCAAATCAGTTGAGTTTACAGAGCTATGGTTGGGTAAAAGGCCTTTCAATAGTTTTTACATAATTAAAATCATAAAAAGAAATTAGCCTCTACTCTCAACAAAATTCTCATCTGTTCCAGGACCCTTCTGAGCCACATGGATAGAAGTTACACATACTAACCACAGATTGTGCTGTTTCTCCATTCCCTGACGATAATTCCATTTCGCCTGCACTCTTGGGCATAGGCTGCAATGGCTTCACAGTAGCATGGCTCGTTGCCTCCGCACGAGCACGCATCCTGCTGACAGAGTTCGTAGAAGCTCCTTGGGTCAACCACCTCCCGGCACTCGGCAAACGTCGCCTGCTTCAGGACGTCGCACTTTGCTCGGACCTCCCGCCAGCTGCGGTAGGTCAGCCCGGCGCAGGCCGGTAAACGACCGACAAGGCGCCGCGGCAGGGACAGACTTTCCGGAACGACGGCCGGTAAAACGCAGTGCTCGTAGCCGTTGACCTTCCAGCTGTGGATCAACTCAAGGTTAGTGCGGCTCGGCAACTGCTGCTTGGTCAGAGTGTCGTCAGCTTTATTCCCATTAAAGTTACCACAAAGACCACACAACCGTCTCCGGAAAGATCTCTCGACTGAAACCTGGACTCTACCGTCCGTCCCCCAGGAGACCTCCAATCCCACACCTGACACCACCCGGATTTTGTTGCCACGGAAGTGGTGGATCTGTATCTCGGCAGGCTCGCTCAGCGCAAACGGCAACTCCACCGATCTGCCGTCCACTTTCACGCCAGGCGGACCAAGCTCAATTTTGACCCCACTCAAATAAACAAAGACAATTTTGCCAAGTGGCTTCCTCCGAGTTTGTAGGGGAGCGTCTTTGTGTTCCAGTTCTAGGTGGACGCTGAAGCTGCCCGAGGAGCAATCCTGGGCCATTGTGTAGCGACAGTTGCCATGGAAACGGAAGGAGCGCAAATCAAAAGACTGGAAATTACCCTTGGGGTAGACAGTGCAGGATGCCAAGTCTGAAATATAAATACAATTATTTTACTGAATTGACTTCCTTTTAGAGAGACGCACCACATGCTGAAATATCTTATTTAATCATACCACTGTACTGTAGCTAAATAATTTTCAAAATTTCATCAGTACCATTTGGACCATCAGTGGGTGTTGGGATGACTTTATTTTTGGCCTGGCCTGCTGAGCAGACCAGGCAACAATTACCAGGCTCCCTGACGGCCGTCTGTCCCTGCCAAGAGAAAAGAAGCATCAAAGACTTGAATGAGCATCAAAGACACAGAAATGGCACTATTATGTGGTCCCAATGCAGTCACATGGCCATCGCAAAGAGCCAGCAATTGGACTGCCAGGCGTGCGGACAACAACTGGGCCAGCAAAAGCGATCAGGCTAACTCGAAAGCCATGATTTGTTGCGGTTACGGCATCGTGCACGCAACATCCCCATGTCAAAAGACGAAGTGCGTTGGTCAGTAAGGACTCGTGCAAAGACTGGCCGAACAAACGTTGGAGTTAAGCGGAGGTACCGGTGTGGGCATTTAGTGTTACGGTGGTATTCATGTACATAATATCCTATTCTCGTAGCAGGAATGGAGTAGTATTACTCCGAGGTAAACGGAGTTTCCAATTATCCGAATTTGAGTTAACGAGAGTTACCGTACCTTATCCTTGTCATTTCCACTGACCTTTGGACACACTGGATCAAAGCATATCACTGCAGTGCATGTTGCTTTCCCACCCACGCACTGGCAATGTGTACACGCATCCTCCCACTCTTCATTGGCCTGTAGGTATGTGGGAAAAACAAACTTTGTTTTATTTACCAACTTTAAGGTTGACCTCCCTTTATCCATTCAATGATTTTTAAGTACGATAATAATAATTTTTTTTAATACAAGCAAATGATAACAAAAATAATCCTACCTGTCGGATGATACCATTGTGCCTGCAGTGTCGTGAATCTATACAAAAGATACACATGAAGTTCATGAAGTTGTACTTTACATAACTCTCGAGGACAAGGCGTTGTCTTTTCCTTTGACCCTGTAATATAACACTCTCCAATAGACTAAGCACACACACTCACGATCGAGGACCATTTTCATCAAAAGATGAACTCTCAAGGACAACAAAGAATCTGTTGTTCTCCCTCTGTCTGTCTGTCCTCAGGGTGCATGTAGTACATGTACACATAATTTAAAAAGTTCAATGCATAATTTATTTGCACAATAAAAAAAAATTAAAATAACTCAAATAAATATACAGTTTACATTTACTCGAATGATCACAAGATATTAAGCACTCTTACCAACACATGACTTGCCGTCAGAATGCAGTACAAAACCCACGTTACACTCACAGTGGAAGCTACCCTGAGTGTTTACACATGCATGGTCACAGCCAGCATTACGGACAGCGCATTCATTAATATCTGGTGAAAACACAGGAAACTGACTTTAGGTGAAGAAATTAATTTTCAGAGCCAAAGAAGAAATCTTTGCTGTAGTGTGATTCGAACCGCTGGCAATCAGAATAAACCTTACTAGTTCTGTAAACTTTTCAGAATTAAGTAGATAATCTCAAAATTCTACACCTGAATAGAAACTGCTATTTTTCTTTTTTTTTCAAAATAAATTTTTGTTCTACACGATATTGCAAACATATTTATCAAACTAATCTGTAAATGTTATTTTTTCAAATTTTCTTCACATGATTCAAATTCAAAGGTTCACAATTGCTGGGAAAAAAACACTGGAAGCCTTATAGGAAGTGGGTGTTCCAACCAGACGTATAACTAGAAACAACAGAATAAGGTTACAATTTTATTATTAACGAAAATACATCAAAATCAGGTTGAAAATGAAATCGAACTGTTCTCTGAATCCAACATCTAACAACTCACCGTAGTTGCACACAGGTCCCCTAAAGCCAGCCGAACATCTACAGAAAGGTCTGTTGCCTTCGCCTAGGTCACATGACCCACCGTTCCTACAATGGAGTAGCGCACACGGGTCCGTAGCCTCTTCACACTTTGGCCCTGTTTGGGTTGAAAAAATGAACTTAATATTTGAAAAATCATGCTCTCTTGAAACAGCCTTACCACCTCAAAAATTATGACAATTGCTCTGTTAATATTTCAAAAGCGACTTTTAAGGAACATTACGAGATCAGGTTGTTGCAGTCAGTAACATCTATTATAAGAGAGTCTTACCTGAGAAACCCAGAGTGCATTCGCACACCGGTCCCCTAGGCCTGTCGTGGCACCTCCCACCATTCAAACAGGTACCCACCATACAGCTGGCACTCACTACCTGGCAGGCATAGCCTTCGAACCCGTCAGCGCAGTCACAGGCGTAGCTGTCGACCAGGTCGCGGCAGGTCGCGCCATTCCGACAGGGCAAGGAAACGCAGTCGTCAATTCCTGATTTCAAAATGGGATTGCAAACTTGTATTGACAAATCACAAATGTGTTTGTTACACAAATGTGTTGCAAATGTTGTACACTGCCTTTAACGCCAAACCCTCAACTGCCCATTAACGATTTCACTTATAATTTTATAGACTCTTGCGTACATCTTAAACTCTCAACCTTCATACCATCAGAAGTACCTCGACTTCAACACCGCTAAAATATTGGACTGTGACTCACGTCTACAGATCTGCGATGGTTGTCGTCGGTAAATTGTGATCCCGTCTTGCAGGGTCTGTGGCCAGGCCATTGCGTCTCCCATGCTACCACAGCTGCCAAACAAACTCAGTATCTCCGCGTCGCTCATTGCAAACTGCCATATATTCACCTGTGTATATAGACAAAAGTAACACAAACTGTCCAAACCAGAAGGGAAATGTGCCAATCAAATTGAAAATCAACATGCAAATAAGATGCAAATAAGATGTAAATCAAGAATAAAACTTTCAGTCTATTGGAAGCCACTCAAAGACATTTAAACATTTGAACAAGTCATACTTTTCAATAACAAACGTCTAGATTCCTAGCAACGCTGGGCCCCAACAGGTTGCACTCACGATGGCTTTCTCGTCGACTGTGTAATAGCTGTGGATGAATTGCAACTGGAGTATGCACAATATCTAATCTACTTTTCAATACAACAGTCAAAGTTTGGAATGAAGAATGTTACCCTACCTGACTCAAGCGACCGACGAAGCTACCCGACGATCCCTCCTGCCCGCGTATCCCATCATGCTCTCTGCCCAGGGTCAGCAGGCCGCCGCCAGGTATGACACCGCCTGTCTGCAGTCCGGTGCCCTGTCTCCGCAGAGTGCCGTCAAAGTAGAAACGCCACTCGCCAGACACGGCCTTCCAGGTGAAGGCCACATGGTGCCAATCGACTTCCCTGCATAAAACATGCAAAATGAATCATAAAAAGCTGCATGGCATGGGAAAATTCACGGTGTAGATGTGCTAATACTTACTTATAACCACTTCGCGACGAGATTGTTTTTGCCGAAAATTTGGTTTTTGAAAAGGCAAAACATAGCAGCCAACTTCTGATGTACAGCCAAATGCCACAAAGACTGATTCGCAAGAGTTATATCAATTGTATTTGTACGATATTTCTTACCGCAACCTCATATTTTTCAACACTCTGGGGGTGTGCCCATGGACCGTAAATTGTACCACAACAGGCAGTGCACAGTGGCCATGTTCAAGTTCAACATGGTCCGCTTCCATAGAATTCTTGGACTTGGTGTGAATCTCTTAGTTTCTATTTCTATTCTTCCATGGTTTGCCCCTGAAATTCATGATCTCTTTGCTGAACTTTATCTCCATGAAATAGACATGTATTCCATAATCTTGTACTTAAAAGGAACCGGGCCCAGTTCACCACAAAGAACGTTCGTAAAAACCAGCATGATTTACCTAACTGGTCTGAAATTTGTTTCAACTCCTTCGCTGTTCATTTGTACAATCATGTTGTCATAGTCGCGTAAACTCAAGGCAACGTTCATGGCTCCGTGGTCCAAAGTGGATTGCTGCTCTCGCTCATTGTAGACGATGTACGACAAGATGGGCCCTGTCCGGGTCACACCCTCGGGTCGTATCCATAGCGACAGGGTCAATTCACGCAGGTCAGGCTGCATGTGAATCGGGTGGGTGAACGGGAGGCTCGAGGGGCCGAAGATCAAGTCAAAGTCCGAAGACAGCTCTAATGGAGGGAAAACAAAGATCAAACTGTTGCCATTACAACAAGGAAACTGTCTGGCGGCAATTAGCAGCCATTTGCAAAATCATTAATTTGCAGGTTTTCACTCTTTTATAACTGTTCACAAAAGTGACTTTTGTAACCAGAATTTTACCCAACGGGAAAAAAAAAAAATATTTATATGGCATTATTTTTCAAACTATATGAAAAGTTTTGTAAATTTAAAAGACGGTCATATTCTGGTTTGCTATTTGTCAATAACAAAAACTTTGTTGAGCATTGCCTGGTTTCAACCATTTCAAATAAACGTTTGCCTTCGACAAAGACGTTTTTTAATAATTAGTTCAAAAATAATTTTGGGTTATTGGCCTTAGCCTGAAATTGACATTTCAGCATATAATGTAACATCGTTACGTCATATGCTGAATTTGCGAGTTACCTATATCCTTTGGGATTTACATTTGAAAAACATCTGGTACACTGACTTGCTCAGAATGCTTGGCACATTTTAACTTTGAATTTCCAGACTAAAGATACTGTTGCTAATCACATGATTCGGGGCAAGCTATCGCATAGTAACATAAGAGATGCTCAGCACCAGTACATTGTTCACAATGGGTGAGAATGGCACAAAGACACCATGCTAGCATAAGGCTTGCCCCGAATCACGTGATATAGTTACAGTCTCAAATTTAACTCGCAAATGGCTTATTGCCTTAAAAAAAAACTTGAGTTAGTCAATAAACTTACTTAGTTGGCAGTTGTCCCCTGAATAGCCAGGCGCACACTGACAGACAAAACTGTCCACACGATCCTCGCACACAGCTCCATTCAGACACTCCTCCATATGCTCCAAACAATCATCGATGTCCTCCTCACAAACAGCTCCTTGGTAACCACGGCGACACAGGCACTGGAAGCTTTCTTCATCGTCTGGGATGCACTGTCCCCCATTGCGACACGGACTAGCGTCGCAAGGGCCAATCTGCTCCTCACACTGGTCGCCACGGTAACCATCTTGGCAATAACAGCTGAAACCCTTACAAGATGATAAGATAATATAACGCTTTGTTAACGTTTTGAGCAACTCACAACCAGAGAAGCTGAGGCCACCGCAAGTCAATTGCAAGTCCGGTCATAAGTTAATCACAAGTCAATTGGTCAAACTTAAAGTTAGAGTAGATCATTTGCAGCTACCTAAAAAGTAACTGACCAAATTATTGTTGAAAAGCATACTTGGTTTAAGGATAGTAATGGCACTAAACTCCCAGTGACAATATTTTTTGGAGCACGCTGTCATTTTGAGAAAAAAAACAAAGAAGTTTTGGAAATTTCCGTTACTAGTTCATTTTTAATTCAGTGAAGCTGGAATGGGTGCGCGCAAGCGTTTACACAAAGCACACGCGCGCCCGGTTGTTATAATTTGTCAGTGCGTGACATCGGGTAGCTGCAATTGGCTGAATGAGAACGTGTCCCGGTCGCTGATTTCGGGTGCAATTCAAAACATGACTCTAAACTTCTGAATTGAAATCGAGATCCTAGAATATTGTTTTCTCAGAATACACGACACTCACTGAGCTAAAACTTCATCGGGTTACTTGTTAAGCACCCTTCTTTAGATTTTGAGCACTTTTGTTGCTTCAAACGAACAAAAATGCACAAATGACAAATGAAACACTCTCCCTTTTAACAGGGGATGAATAATAACTAGGGAATGCTTTTGGTGTAGTTATCACATGACAGTAGTCGCAAATATATCACTGACAAATATAGTCAACCCAATTGGGGAGTTTATCTACCCAATTGGGGAGTTTCTTTTTAGATGATGCCTAATTATAGTCAGTTTTGTTACCCTTGGTAGGTCCTGGCACTCGGCCCCATTCAGACATGGACTGGAGGCGCAGTCATCATAGTTGACCTCACAGGTCAAGCCAGTGAAGCCCTCAGGGCACTCACACATGTAGGAGTTGACATCATCGTGGCAGATACCCTCGTTCAGACAAGGAGCTATGACAAAAAAGACCAACGTGAAAGCTTAGACTTTGTTACCCAATGTCGTTTTTACCAATCAACAAAACACACTTTTCTCTTACAATACTGCATTCCCATAGCATCTTCCGAAATGAATAATAATAATAATAACAATGATTAAACATTTATATTGCGCACTTATCTGTCCAAAAGGACATCCAAGGCGCACAAATGAAAAGCAAAAACGTTTCACAATAAACTCTGAATTTTCTGAAAGGCATTCAACGTCAATGAAATTGTGGCGCAATCTTAGCTATTGAATTTGGAATCAATTACTCATTATTTGTATGCCAAGACACAGCATTTAATAATCATCAAGAATTTGACATTTGACCCCATGACCTTTGACATTGACTCACCAGATGCACACTCGTCCACGTCCACCTCACAGTCTTTACCAGTGAACCCTGGTATGCATTTGCAGGAGTAGTCTTGATCCCCGTCTATGCACCTCCCACCGTTCTGACATGGCCGACTGAAGCAATCGTCCAGCCGAACCTCACAGTGCCGGCCGGAGAACCCAGGAATGCAACGGCACCCGTATGTGTCTAGTCCGTCCACGCATCGGCCTCCATTCTCACACGGGTTTGGTCGGCAATCGTTGATGTTCGTCTGGCAATGCACACCCGTGAAACCTGCAGCACACGTGCAGGTGTACCTGTGGACAAGGTCCAAGCAACTGCCGCCGTTTTGGCAGGGTTGGGAGACACAGTCGTCTACGTTTACTTGGCAGAGACGTCCGACAAACCCGCGCGGACACAAGCAGTAGAATATGTTGACGCCATCCACGCATCTGCCGCCATTGGTGCACCGATTGGTGGCACAGTCGTCAATATTCACCTGGCACATGTGACCGGAAAATCCTAGTCGACAAACGCAGCTGAAGGAATCGATGGCGTCCAAGCATTTGCCGTTATTCTGGCAAGGATTGGAGGCACATTCGTCAATGTTTGTCTCACACAGGCTGCCCGAGTATCCATCCAAACAGTCACATCTGAAGCTGTTGATGAGATCCACGCACGACGCGCCATTTTTGCAAGGCCGTGATGTGCATTCGTTGACTTCATTCTCACATAAAACTCCTTCAAACCCTTCCTTGCAGATACACAAATAACCATCTACTTTGTCCAAACACTGGGCACCATTCTTACAGGGATTGCTGTGGCATTCGTCAACATCAACGCCGCAGAAATTGCCAGTGAAACCTCGGAGGCACTCACAAGTGAAGCTATCCACTGCATCCACACACCGCGCCCCATTTAGACAGGGATTGCTCCCGCATTCATCAACATCAATGCCGCACAAGTCACCAGTGAAACCCTGGAGACACTGGCAAGTGAAGCTATCCACTCCATCCACACACCGCGCCCCATTTAGACAGGGATTGCTCCCGCATTCATCAACATCAACGCCGCACAAGTCACCAGTGTAACCCTGGAGGCACTCACAAGTGAAGCTATCCACTCCATCCACGCACTGTGCCCCATTTAGACAGGGATTGCTCCCGCATTCATCAACATCAATTCCACAAATTTTACCAGCAAAACCTGGCCGACACTGGCAAGTGAAGCTATCCACTCCATCCACACACCGCGCCCCATTTAGACAGGGATTGCTCCCGCATTCATCAACATCAACGCCGCACAAGTCACCAGTGTAACCCTGGAGGCACTCACAAGTGAAGCTATCCACTCCATCCACGCACTGTGCCCCATTTAGACAGAGATTGCTCCCGCATTCATCAACATCAATTCCACAAATTTTACCAGCAAAACCTGGCCGACACTGGCAAGTGAAGCTATCCACTCCATCCACACACCGCGCCCCATTTAGACAGGGATTGCTCCCGCATTCATCAACATCAACGCCGCACAAGTCACCAGTGTAACCCTGGAGGCACTCACAAGTGAAGCTATCCACTCCATCCACGCACTGTGCCCCATTTAGACAGGGATTGCTCCCGCATTCATCAACATCCATTCCACAAATTTTACCAGCAAAACCTGGCTGACAATGGCAAGTGACGATATCCACTCCATCCACACACTGTGCCCCATTCAGACAGGGTTTGCTCCAACATTCGTTAACATCAACTCCACAAAATTCACCAGCAAAACCTGGCGGACACTGGCAAAAGAAGCTATCCACTCCATCCACACACGTTGCCCCATTCTGACAGGGCTCCCCACGGCAATCATCTATGTTAATCTCACACGCGGGACCACTGAAGCCGGGCGCACATTGACAGTTGAACTCATTTACCCCATCTATGCAAGTGCCTCCATTTCCGCACAGCACGCCCTTGCAGTCATCAATATTGACTTCGCACAAAGTCCCAGTGAATCCTGGGAGACACTGGCAGAAGAAGTCCTCCACGTAGTCAATACAGCTTCCTCCATTTCTACACAAAATTCCATGACAGTCGTTGATATTTGTGTAGCACATTTTCCCGGTAAATCCCGCTTTGCACCGACACCGGAAATCGTTGACACCGTCAACACAACTACCGCCATTTCGACAAGGATTATCCCCACAATCATCGATATTGACTTCGCAATCTTTACCGGTGAAACCTTCAAGACACAGACAAGAATAGTCGTTAATTCCGTCCACACATGACGCGCCATTTTCACAGGGGGCACTCTCGCAGTCATTGTTATTGGTCTGACAGTTGTCACCAATGAAACCTTCAACACATTCACAGCTGTAGCTGTTCACTCCATCGTTACAGGACCCACCGTTCTGACATGGCATATCGATACACTCATCGATATCTACGCTGCATCGCTCACCTGTGTAGCCTGGACCACAGTCACATATGTATCCATTCACTACGTCCTGGCATGTTCCATTATGCTGACAGGGTCCTGAAAAATAAAAACAAATACAGCATGTTCGTTATTCAATATATGTTAACTTAAAACTCTTTCAACTCTAAACCAAGAAATCTGCAAGGGTGTTAATAAAAAGAACTCTTTCAAAGACAAACCAAATACCTGATTGACACTCGTCAACGTCAACCTCACAGTTGCGCCCCCCAAAACCAGCTGGACAATCGCACAGATAACCAGCTATCTCGTTGACGCAACTACCACCATTATGGCACGGTCTACTGATGCAGAAATCCACGAGAGTCTCGCAGTGGGTACCGGTGTATCCGTCGGTGCACAGACACCGTGCAGGGCCCTCGGGTTGGTCCACGCACGTCCCTCCGTTGTCGCACTTGTGGTTCTCGCACGGGGGGATCAAAGTCTCGCAGTTTAGTCCTCGGAAGTTTTCGGGGCACTTGCAGCGGTATCCCTAAGTGTTAATCAATGAAAAAAAACTTAGTTAAGATCAAGGACTTTCAATAAAAATTATTGCCATAAGAATCCATGTCATACAATCATTACATGTTTGATGGGAAATAATAAATGATTTTCTGGGACTACCTTCATAGGCCTGCTGAGCATGGATAGCATTAGCTTAGCAAGATCGGGTTACCAGGCAAAATGCAATGGATTTGTACATTGCTAATGACTGGTTCCCGGCTTATATTTATTTGAATGAATACTTATTAACAAATGGACGTAATGAAATGGTTAACACCAGTCTCACTTTGTCAAGACTGTAGCACACTCCGTTGTTCAGACACGGACGGAAGGCGCAGTAATCTTTCAGCTGACAATACCTGCCGCTGTATCCCTCTACACAATGGCAGGTGTAGGAGTTAGTTCCGTCCACACAAGTGGCTCCATTTAGGCAGGAATCTAGAATCATGGAATTTGCGACAGTAAACTTTCGATAAAAAGGAGAATCAACAGCGTGAACGTTATAAGTGAGGGCACACTGCATGGATGCATACATACACTGCCTTGTTTAAAAGTTAAGCCCTATTGCAAGTGGGCTTTGCCTGCTACCAACTGTTGACTAGCGTTCAAAATCCACAACTTACATTTTGGAAAAGAAACATGCATAGGACTGAATAAATAGCCACAGAACTGAAACTGTTGGGATAAAAATATAGCAGTTTTTTTCAAAATTTCTAACAACTTACTTTTCTCACAGTCGTCAACGTCCAGTTCACAGTTTGTGCCCGTATATCCTCGTCGACAGAAACACTGATAAGCATTGATAGAGTCCTTACACCGCCCTTTGTTCATGCATGGCCTGCTCCAACACTCATCGAAATTAAACTCGCACACCCTTCCAGTGTAACCTGGAATGCACTCGCAGTGAAAAGTGTCGATTTCATCGACACAGCTTCCACCGTTCCTGCACGGTTCCCTGATACAGTTATCGATGTTGGTTTCGCAGCGGGTGCCAGTGAAACCGCGAGCACACGAACACGCGTAACCATTGACACCGTCGATACACTGCCCGGCGTTCAGGCACGGGCTACCTGCGCAATCGTCGATATCAACGTTGCATCGGTCACCGGTGAAACCTTCAGTGCAGACACAATAGAATGCATTGACCCCATCTAGGCAGGTTCCGCCATTTTCACAGACACCTTCGCAACAATCCTGGATGTTCGTTTCGCAGAGATTCCCGCTAAAACCACTCTGGCAATCGCAATGAAAACCATCCACCTCGTCAACGCAACTCCCGTTGTTAGCGCAGAGAACCCCGGTGCAGTCATCTACATCAACGTCGCAACGCTCGCCGGTGAACCCCGCGGCACACAAGCACTGAACTTCATTAATCCCATCCACACAACGCCCGCCATTTTGACAAGGGTTGCTACGGCAATCGTTAATGTTGATTTCGCAGTCACTGCCGGTGAAACCATCCGCACATCTGCACCAGTAGCCGCCAACAAGGTCCACGCACGTGCCTCCATTATCGCAGAAAGATAGTGGACAATCGTCAATATCGACCTCGCAGTCTTTCCCGCTGTAACCCGTGAGGCACTGACAGCGATAATCGGATGCTTCATTAATGCAGACACCGCCATTCTCGCAGGGGTTAGAAGAGCAAGGGTCCATGCTTTCTTCACAAGTCAACCCAGTAAACCCTTTGGTGCAGTTACAAATGAAGGAGTTGATTCCATCAATACACGTGGCTCCATTCATGCAAGGGTCTGTAAAAATACGAAAAAATATAGTGAAACTTGCTTTTCTCCTGCAAACTATTACAACGAAAACCTGGTCAGTATTTGTTGTACAAGCTTTCTTAAGCAGGCTAAATTTACGGGAAATTAAAGGGGAAGTGTGGCCTAGTGGTTAGGGTTCATGACTCATGATCAGAGGGTCAGGGGTTCAAATCTAGCTGCTTGTCATATATTGTGTCCTTGGGCAAGGCACTTCACCCCACTTGCCTCTCTCTACCCAGGAGTATAAATGGGTACGGGCATTAGCTGGGGAGTAACCTGCGATGGACTAGCATCCCATCCAGGGGGGAATAGAAAAATTCTCAGTCGTTTCATGCCACTGAAACCAGAGATAAACGCCGGCCTGATGGGCCATATTGGCTCGGGACAGACTTTACTTACTTTTTACTTTTTTTTAAATTTACATGAAACTGTCAAAAACAAAGATATTGAATCAACTTAGGTTTTGCCCTTCACCGACGTATAAACACTGTATAGATTCCATCTTACGAATAAAGATATTGAAAAAAATAGAGACATGCAAATCTGAACAGCTCATACATCACCTGTGCAGAACTCAAGGGTCTAAGGCTTAAATCACACTTATAAATCAACACTCTTTGTTGAACTAATATTACATAACAATTTGTCAATAACAAAGTCAGTTTTGTGACAAATTTTCTTTTCATTTACACAGAGCGAGTAACACATTTTTGTCAGTAGTCTGGTTCCCCACCTGATTCGCATTCATCAAGATTGACACCGCACAGGGCACCAGCAAATCCGGGCGGGCAGTTACAACGGTAAGTTATCACTTCGTCTACGCAGCTACCACCGTTCAGACACGTCACCCCTGCACAATTATCGATGTCCGTATCACAGATATCGCCGGTGTACCCTGGTGCGCAGTCACACCTAGGACCATGCGGAAAGATCAAGCAGGTCCCACCATTAAGGCAGGAGGTAGCATTACAGTGGGGGATTGCAAGCGTCTCACACTGCAAGCCTTTGTAGCTGGGCCCACAGTCACAGTGAAAACCCTGAAAACAAAAATAGAGATTGGTTCATACTTCACACAAAAGCAAATGTTGGAGCACAGGAACAGTGGAACCCCTGTTATTAGAATTTGAGAAGAAAATATAACGAGACTGTATGCTACGAACAAAATATTTTTAGGTTATCAAAATGTGATCATCAAATTCACCAATTTATGTTTTTGTATTGTGCAGTGATAGAAAATTTTGCATATTTAATAAATCAATTCAACTTTAGGGGCTGATTTCAGTCTTTAAAATTGAGCTTTAAGGTAATTTTTTTTAAAATATGTAAAGGTTTCACCATGTTGCCTAAACTGTTTGATATGCAGTTTTCAAAGGTTTTCTTATCATCCCACTTTAGATTTTAATTGCTGCCGTTTCTGGAATCACCAAAAAATTAACGCACTTGATCCTATGGGTATTTAATATGAATTGCATTTGTAATCAAAGTTGGCAACAGTCAAATATGACACTTACCCAAACCCTATCCTGACAAGTACCACCGTTCTGGCACGGTGCGGAAGCGCACTCATCTATGTCGATCTCACAGTTGGTTCCGTTGTACCCTTTCAGGCACTCACAACGATATGAGTCGATGCTGTCATGGCAAGCAAGGGCATGAACACATGGACCTTGGGATTTGAGTAGAGAAAATCTGCGATCAAGTTCTAGCAAGGAGACAGATGTTTTGTGATGAGGTTTCGACCATCACTTGACTAGAGGCATTTCCACATTGCTATTAGTGTGCTGGTGTTAATGACGGTATATTAAGAAATGGTTCAAAAATTATTTCTTACCCGATTGGCACTCGTCAATGTCAACCTCACAGTTTGTGCCGTTGAATCCCGGTGAGCATTTGCACCGGTAACCGGCCACCTCATCATGACACGTCCCTCCGTTCATACACAGACCTTCCTGGCAGTCGTCAATGTTGGTTTCACACTGGGCACCGGTGAAGCCGTCGACACACTGGCAGAAAGCACTGATGTCGGACCTATTGACGCAGGTGCCGTTGTGTTGACAGGGCGTCACATGGCACACAGCAAGCTCTACGGAAAAAATAACGAAGGTTTTCTTGATTTTGAGACAATAGCATAACATTATTCCCTAAATATTTCCTCTAACTTCTCTTCTTTATCTATTTCCACTAGCTTCTCTTCTCAAAATCAATCAAGTGACTGTTTTAACAGCATAAGGAATGCTATGCCTACTGCTAGGCACGACTGGCTGAGACTGTTTGTACATGTAATTGATGCAGTAAAAAGCTTTGACTGTAGGAGATTGATAAGCCAGCTGTACCTACCAGCTACCTGCTTTTGTCTTATGTCTGAAGTTGACTAGTCACAGTGCATACCAGAAATTTGATGTGGGTGTTGGTGACTAGTGTAAGCATGAATAGGGTTGACTCTCACCGACACACGATGTTACGTCGACGGCTCCCAACTCATCCGAAGAGGAGCCGTCGGGGCACGGCAAGCAGGCATGCTGCTTCCTCATTGGTTGATACCAGCCCGGTGCACATGGTATGCATGGCTGGTAACCAGACATGGAGAACGATCCCGCATCACAGGGAACTATGGGAGGAAATATAATACATAAGACTGTGTCATAGTGAAGTCAATCATCCATTCCTGAATCTTAAGCGAACAAAAGAACTTCTCTAACAGAGTTAAACAAAATCAAATAATAAGAAGTACGACAATCTCTGAAACCTACACATGCATTCCTCCAAAGATGAGGCCCCTTCGTTTCGGGCCGCTGCATCATCGGGGCACTGTTGGCATGATGTGGCGCCCTCTGTCGACTGAAAAGTTCCAGCAGGGCAGGCTAGACAGGGCTGCAGACTGGTTTTCGAGTACGTTCCCGCAGGGCATGCATCTAGAAATGAAATAGTAAATAATTGATGAGGTTCAATTTTTGAAGAAAAAAAAAAGTTGAATAAAGATCAGGTTGATTAAAATTGAAGCCAGCAACGAAAGCATAACTGGAAGGCCATTTATCCACATTGTGACAAAAGCGCAGAATTCAGGCAATCCACAATGCAGTGCGCCGCTAAGAGTTTGCCACAGACTGTTCAGTTTTCCCAGTGCATTGTGGGAGATGGACAACAAATTCGCAGCGCGGAACATTTGAAATTGTTTGTTTTTCTGGTCAGTAGTTTCGTAAGCGTATTATTCAAGTATCTGTGTGCCCTTTTCTTTTCTCTAATCGATATGCTGTTTTTTTGTAAGGTGGCAGAACACTATGCCCCAATCTATAACAAATAAGCTCAAGTTGTCTACTGACACTCATTCAAATGGGCCATGTTGTGTCGACCGTAAACTTGATAAATGGACTCTCCATGGCAAACTCTTGGTGGCGCATTGCGTTATGAATCGCCCAAATTCCTGAAGGGCTTAAAAAACTCTGGCAGCAACAAGTCTCATAAAGCATACACCAAATGACTTGATTCAATTGTGAATGGCAGTTTTCCTCTTTTATTCATGTTTCGGGGGGGGGGGGGTGTGGGGATGGGGTCGGAGGTTGTAAAGTCATCATTGGTATCTGACTTACAGCGACAATAGTTTTCATTCCTTGCCCCAGTGTCTGTTGTGTTGGCGCCCTCTGGGCAAGCCTTGCAGGTGGTTTGGCCAGCTTCATCTTGGAAAGTTCCAAATTCACATCCGACACACTCCTCCGAAGCTAGCGAGTGATAAGTACCGACGGGACACTCCACTGAAAAAAAAATAGAGAAAAATCCTATAATGCACCGAATGCATCATGTCCACACACACACTCGCTCTCATGATAACCTGGTAAGGGAAGTTTTATAATATGTTTAGACAATTTTTACTGAGTTGTGAGGACTTTTGACTCTTGCCATAAAACCTATCCTGCAACAAACATATGTGAGTAGCGGCCACACCGCATCATCTACCGTTCCTCCACCTGTCTGAGTCCACAGAAATATGTAGGAAAACATAAAAGTCCTATAGGATCCTACAGAATTCCTATGTTGAAAGTTAAAGACTTGGTCCCAATAGGGACAAACTCTAGATTCCTTTAACAGGGGCCAAATGTCCAATACTCATCCAAATGTTAACATCAGATTTATTTTTCAGAAACAGGACATAACACCAACAGAGGAATTTAAGTTTACAGGTTAAGAATCATTTATTTACCATGCACAAAAAAAATCATCTGCAGTGCAGGTTAAAATGAAGTAATTTGAATTCTTTGGCAGTGTCTTGCCCACTTCCTAAACTCAAAAGAACTGGGTTCCTCCACAAAATTGCTTTTCCACACAAAACAATGCATAGTGCCTGAAATATAAAGCCTTGTCCAAAGTACTTGGCTACGGCTTGACATTACACACAAATGTATGAGAAGTGGCTGCAGCCAATTACCATAGACTCGTGTGTAATTTCAAGCCGCAGCCAAGTAATTCAGACATGGCTTAACTCTAATAAAGGTCTAATTTAGTCAGGCAACACTTCACTGCCAATCCTGTGTTCTGTGATTGGCAATTAATAACCAGCATTGCATCATTGTAAACTGCCAAGTTTGAGCTGTCTGCACGCACAGCTGACATCAGAGCAATAGCACGCTAAATTCGCCAAAGCCAAAGTCCTCATCTCTCCTCAGCCAAAACCCATTATCGGCAGGAGAAAGAAATTGTGTGTGTCTGCCTAATCATGTTGTTGATCTTGAGTAGAAACGATGGCCAACGCGATATCATTTTTTGATTTAAACCCCAAGAAAGTCGTCTCCAGCTTGATTGACTGACATTTGAAAGCAAAGACAAATTGCCAAGGAACAATGGTCCCATCAATTGCAGTTGTTTACACTGGTTGGGGCATCTCCACCAAAAACTGTCCAATCACAGCTGAGGAATCTCGGCCAAGAACCATACAATATTCTAACTGGCCAATCAGAATGAAGTCCAACGGATATATGCAAATTGTACCAATTTAATGTAAATTGTAGCCCCGCCCAGTATAATCTGACTAAGATTTAATGTGAGGCCGATATGCTCACAGCCGCACAACTTTCCAACAAGGGAAGTCCGAGTGTTTTGTGCAAGGCAGCAATCGCAAGACGACTTTTGAAAACATAGTTGGACGTTGTATCCTCCAAGTTTGATTCACTGATTCAAAATGAACGCCACACAACTTTCTGTTGATCTGGACCTGGGCAATATTAATGTAAGTTCAACAATTGCAACTCCTGGATTTATCACAAACTCTGGATCAATTGTCTTTAACATCATCAACTGCATTCTTCTGGTGTTGACAACACTTCTTCTTCTGACTTTTAACCCTTTCTGTCTCGTAATTCTTACACATGTCAACAACATCCAGGAAACGACCAAAATATTTCTGAGGTCCGTTACGGCTGCTGATCTTGGCATTGGAATTTTTATGGCATTACCCACTACTATCGCCGCAATCACAAAAACTCAGAACTTTGACGTAGACGCACTCTGCAGTATACAGGCATTCCTGGCTCTACTTTGTAGCTACAGTACACTGCTGTCGCTCCTGTGCTTGACAGTGGACCGGTTTATAGCTGTAGTTTTTGCACTTCGCTATCCTTCTCTTGTGACGACAAAGCGAGCACGGATCGCCGTGTGCTGCATGTGGGGTGTTGCCTTTCTGGCAGTTGTTGAGCACAGCATTGTGGTAAAATGGAAACCAGGGTACTATGAACTCTTTTTGTCGTGTGTTTTTCGCCAAGAAAAGTCCAATGTCTTGCGCCATATGACTACCGTACACACATGTATCTCCATAAGCTGCCTGTTGGTGGTATTTATAACGTACATCAAACTGTTCCTGATCTCGTGCAAGCATGCTAAGCGCATTGCAGACGACAATCAAAATGCTCGGGGTGAAGCGAGGCCAGCCAACCGGTTCAACACCAAGACCTTGAAGACCGTTCTTATTATTGTGACATCCAGTTTCATCTTCATGATGCTGCCGCTCCTCTTCACAACTCTACAACTCTACAAACCATCCAGCTCAGCTCAGCCGGCAATCTTATCCATGTTCATGCTTGTGTTGCCCATTTTGACAAACAGCTGGTTCAATGGGTTCGTCTATTACCTGGGCAACAAGGAGTTTCGACAAGTGGCTCACCGTCTCCTCAAATCTTACTATGAACGTCTGAGACAGCATGCTCCATTCTGAGGAAAACAACCAAGGTTATGACCACAGGGGCACAACGTCATGTCAGACCCGCAGAGTCTCTGCTTAGTGACTTTCTGCATGAGTACTCAATAACAGTTATAACAAGATACACAGTCAGGCAAGGACTGTAGAATCCACTGCTGCAGTATGACTGATGCTAGCACTTTAAATTTTCATTAAAAGTCCATTTCTCTGTGAAAAGAATCTTTAAGCGATGTTTCAAGGACATTTTCATGGGGCTTATATAGGACTAATCCTGCAAGGGTATTTTCACGTTTTTTTAATGACCCTGGCCACTGAGGATTATCAATGGTTATACATAACGGTACAGTAGGTCTATCTGCATGGGTAAACAAAGGACTTTCTTAAGGGTGTTTTCACGGACTCCTAATCTGGCTTAATATGTTGAAAAATCCGTGAAAATTTAGTTAACTGTAATTTCAAGGGAAAATGGCTCTTTAACGAATTTCTCTGGGATGAAGATGTTCATTGTGACCAAAGACGACACAGATCTGTGCACACTCCGTGCTTGTGATGAGTAATCCTAGAAAAACTCAGTAAAAGTAATGAGCAACTTTGCACCAGAACTATGAAGAAAACAATAGATTAACTTATCCTGAACTAGTCAACTCTTTGGGACTAGTTTAGAACTGGATTACACCAGAGTGATGTCCCAGAACAAGCTCAGTTAAATCCATGACCAGGTTCACACCAGAGACATGGTAAACCAGTTGGATAACTGACATCAAACTTGATCCAGTTTTGCAATTTAATCGACAGAGTGTGCCAAAAAAGTGCAACATTCAGAAAACAAATAATTAAAACTGTTTGTTATTTTTTCTTCTATGAATTATTTATTACATTAAAGCCAGACTATTTCTCAATCCACTCCTTTTTATCCCATTCCATTTGGGCCCCTAGATCCAGAAATACAATCAGATAAGTGAAGGGGTGTTAATTTCACTTGGGCACTCTCACCTGGGCATGCTGAATCTGGGTTTAAGCATTAAATAGGCATTCATAAATACCTAAGACAGTTTACGCATTCCTATTGGTCGAGAGCCCGTCACGTGGCTGGTCTTTAACGGATGATAAAGACATGGCTAGCTGGTCTTAAACACTTTTCCAGTGTCACGATAAAATGTGGACTCCTAAAAATCCAGTGCCTCTTATCGTTTCATTGGTTGAACGTTCACAATCCTCACGTAGGCATGCGCAACACTACCAGGGAGTCAGAATTTTATAGTTCTAAATTCAAAACGCAACGCGCCAGATGCGTTCTGCGCGACATCGCGCAGAACATGATACGCGCGCGTCAATCTCCATAAAAGGGTTGTTTACATCTTACTCGCCAGCTGAACACTCCATTATTTTGCAAGAGGGATGTTTCAAAAAGCATAAAGTGAATTTGTTGAACAAAATCGGGATGTTTTGAACGAATTATATGATTTTTTTTACCGAAGAGGTATTTATGAATGGGAATAAATATGTGCTCCGTCGGTATTTATCACTCTGTTTAAGAAGACCACTTAGAGTCTGGGTGCTGATAATTACCCTCGCCTCCGGCTCGGGTAATTATCAGCACCCGGACTCTAAGTGGTCTTAAACAGAGTGATAAAAACCTCCAGAGCACACATTTATTCCCTTATTAAAAATAGGCATTGAAGTTGGTGACATCACAGGTGAGAGTGGCCCAAGTAAAATTACACCCTATCACTTAATTGACTGTATTTCCCTCTTTACGTTTGTTCTGACAATCACTTGAAGCATGCTCTATTAATGCTGTCAATCAAGACAAAACTAATTATAGCCGAGAAAAACAACTCTTCGAAAATGACAAGCCATCACTGGTAATGAAGAACTATACGCCAACCTTAGATGGGAAAATTGAAGTCACTTCATTACTGCGGCACAGGCATGAAAATGATTAAAAACAAATTGAGTGTTCTGACCAAACACGTTTTGAACGTGTGGACGAAATGAGGACTGGTGATGGACAACTAAAGTTAATATCATGGGGCCTTAATAGTAGATATACATTGATAGATAGGGACTGTTTTTATTATCATATCAAACCAAATTTACTCATAAAAAATGCTTCAATATAATGGACAATATGTCACAAAAGAGATTCAATGTTCTTGAAAAAGGGGAGTTACCAGGTTTTTTTAAACAACTGCTGTGAATATATTGTAATGTTATTTCTAGTGCTTATTTCTTTTTTTCACAAAATACTAACTTTTTAAGGTCAGTAGCTTTTTAGAGCAAAAACGATAATTTTGTTGTTCTAAATGAAAAATGTGTACATTTTTATAGTGTTTTTAGTAATGACAATTGTATACATTTTAATAGTGTTTGTTAGTAATACAGGAACTGTATTGCACACAATTATGTAAATATGCGCACATGGATTTCTAAAGTTTTCATTGCAAGAGCAGCTTGAAATGTAAAATTTAGCAAAAATTCAGAAAAAAAATATCCATCTCAAATCTTGCACTTCTAAAGAATATGTAGCATGAGTAATGTGTTTAAATGTAACAAGTGTCTTTATTGTTCTTTTGTAATTAATCAAACCCAGGCATGCAACTGTGAATTTAGAAGGAAAAAAACAAGGAAATTCCAAACCATGTAAGACTTTGTACAGGGTTTTTCAATTTGTAATGGCATTCATGAGAAGTAAAAACACGAGGAAATCAGCGGATCCGAGAAAAAGTTTTCCTACAACAAACGTATAGTACTAGTAGCAGCCACACCGCATCATTTACTGTTCCTAAACCTTCCAGACTCCACACAAATATGTACGAAAAGATGCCAGAGTCCACAGAAATATGTAGGAAAAGATAAAAAGCCCATAGGATCCTACAGAATTCCTACATTGAAGGTTAAAGGGCCCATGCAATGTAATTTTTTAATGCAATCCTTGAAAATGCACATTTGTGTCCCATTTAAGCTGATTTTTAATTTTCGTTTTGCCATTTTCAAGGGTATTTTGGTGCCATTTAGGTTTTTATGCTCATGTACATTTTCATATTCATGAGCAAAAGTGTGATGTCCTTTCAGGCAGAAAGCTCTATACAGCATGGAGCTACAGCTATTTCAGTACAAAAAAAGTTACCAAAAGTTTGGATATTTTGCTGTTAATAAATAATTCTTATAGTAAATTTTCTTTTCTTTTGTGATTGTGTCAGTACACTGGCAGTAAGCCAATGAGCAAACTTAGGCTCACAAATGCTTTCAATGAGCACATTTTCGGGTTCACATTTGAACAGAAAACCCCTAAACTGTGTCTTCCTGAAATGATATCCCATGTGTGATGTCGAGCCGCAGCCAAGTACATGCGGACATGGCTGAACTCTAATAAAGGTCTAATTTAGTCAGGCAATACTCCACTGCCAATCCTATCTCCTATGACTGTCATTTAATAACCAGCATCGCATCATTGTAAACTGCCATGTTGAGCTGTCTGCACGCACAGCTGACATCAAAGCCAAATTTATGGTCATCATCTCTCCTCAGTGAAAAACCCATTATCGGCAGGAGAAAGAAATTGTGTGTGTCTGCCTAATCATATTGTTGAGCTTGAGTAGAAACGATGGCCAACGCGATATTACTTTTTGATTTAAACCCCAAGAAAGTCGTCTCCAGCTTAATGATTAACATTTGAAAGCAAAGACAAAATGCCAGGGAACAATGGTCCCATCAATTGCAGTTGTTTACACTGGTTGGGACATCTCCACCAAAAACTGTCCAATCACAGCCAAGGAATCTGGGCCAAGTATCATACAATATTCTAACTGGCCAATCAGAATGAAGTCCAACGAATATGCACATTGTACCAATTCAATGCAAATTGTAGCCCCGCCCAGTATTATCTGACGAAGGTTTAATGCGAGGCCGAAATGCCCACAGCCTCACAACTTTCCACCGAGGAAGTCTGAGTGTTTTGTGCAAGGCAGCAATCGCAAGACAACTTTTGAAAACATAGTTGGACGTTGTATCCTCCAAGTTTGATTCACTGATTCAAAATGAACGCCACACAACTTTCTGTTGATCTGGACCTGGGCAATATTAATGTAAGTTCAACAATTGCAACTCCTGGATTTATCACAAACTCTGGATCAATTGTCTTTAACATCGTCAACTGCATTCTTCTGGTGTCGACAACACTTCTTCTTCTGACTTTTAACCCTTTCTGTCTCGTAATTCTTACACATGTCAACAACATCCAGGAAACGACCAAAATATTTCTGAGGTCCGTTACGGCTGCTGATCTTGGCATTGGAATTTTTATGGCATTACCCACTACTATTGCCGCAATCACAAAAACTCAGAACTTTGACGTAGACGCACTCTGCAGTATACAGGCATTCTTGGCTGTACTTTGTAGCTACAGTACTCTGCTATCACTCCTGTGCTTGACAGTGGACCGCTTTATAGCTGTAGTTTTTGCACTTCGCTATCCTTCTCTTGTGACGACAAAGCGAGCACGGATCGCCGTGTGCTGCATGTGGGGTGTTGCCTTTCTGGCAGTTGTTGAGCACGGCTTTGTGGTAAACTGGAAACCAGGGTACTACGAGCTCTTTTTGTCGTGTGTTTTTTACCAAGAAAAGTCCTCTGTCTTGCACCATATGACTATCGTACGCGCATGCATCTCCATAAGCTGCCTGTTGGTGGTATTTATAACGTACATCAAACTGTTCCTGATCTCATGCAAGCATGCTAAGCGCATTGCAGACGACAATCAAAATGCTCGGGATGAAGCGAGACCAGCCGACCGGTTCAACACCAAGACCTTGAAGACTGTTCTTATTATCGTGACATCCAGTTTCATCTTCATGATGCTGCCGCTCCTCTTCACAGCTCTACGACTCCACAAACCATCCAGCTCAGCTCAGCCGGCAATCTTATCCATGTTCATGCTTGTGTTGCCCATTTTGACAAACAGCTGGTTCAATGGGTTCGTCTATTACCTGGGCAACAAGGAGTTTCGACAAGTGGCTCACCGCCTCCTCAAATCTTACTATGAACGTCTGAGACAGCATGCTCCATTCTGAGGAAAACAACCAAGGTTATGACCACAGGGGCACAACGTCATGTCCGACCAGCAGAGTCTCTGCTTAGTGACTTTCTGCATGAGTACTCAATAACAGTTACAACAAGATACAGTCAGGCAAGGACTGTAGAATCCACTGCTGCAGTACGACTGATGCTAGCACTTTAAATTTTCATTAAAAGTCCATTTCTCTGTGAAAAGAATCTTTAAGAGATGTTTCAAGGACATTATACATGGGGCTTATATAGGACTAATCCTGTAAGGGTATTTTCACATTTTTTAATGACCCTGGCCACTGAGAATTATCAATGGTTATACGTAACGGTACAGTAGGTCTATCTCCATGGGTAAACAAAGGACTTTCTTAAGGGTGTTTTCACAGACTCCTAATCTGGCTTAATATGTTGAAAAATCCGTGAAAATTTAGTTAACTGTAATTTCAAGGGAAAATGACTCTTTAACGAATTTCTATGGGATGAAGATGTTCATCGTGACAAAAGACGACACAGATCTGTGCACACTCCGTGCTTGTGATGAGTATTTCTGGATCAAGGGACCCAAATGTTTTTCCCTCTTTACGTTTGTTCTGACAATCTCACTCAACGTACTCTATTAATGCTGTCAATCAAGACAAAACTAATTATAGCCGAGAAAAACAACTCTTCGAAAATGACAAGCCATCACTGGTAATGAAAAACTATACGCCAACATTAGATGGGAAAATTGAAGTCACTTCATTGCTGCGGCACAGGCAAGAAAATGATCAAAAACAAATTGAGTGTTCTGACCAAACATGTTTTGAATGTGTGGACGAAATGAGGACTGGTGGTTGACAACTAAAGTTAATATCATGGGGCCTTAATAGTAGATATACATTGATAGATAGGGACTGTTTTTATTATCACATCAAACTCAATTTACTCATAAAAATGCTTCAATATAATGGACAATATGTCACAAATGAGATTCAATGTTCTTGAAAAAGGGGAGTTACCAGTTTTTTTTAAACAACTGCTGTGAATATATTGTAATGTTATTTCTAGTGCTTATTTCTTTTTTCACAAAATACTAACTTTTTAAGGTCAGTAGCTTTTTAGAGCAAAAACGATAATTTTGTTGTTCTAAATGAAAAATGTGTACATTTTTATAGTGTTTTTAGTAATGACAATTGTTTACATTTTAATAGTGTTTGTTAGTACTACAGGAACTGTATTGCACACAATTATGTAAATATGCGCACATGGATTTCTGAAGTTTACATTGCAAGAGCAGCTTGAAATTTAAAATTTAGCAAAAATTCACAAAAAAATATACATCTCAAATCTTGCACTTCTAAAGAATATGTAGCATGAGTAATATGTTTAACTGTAACAAGTGTCTTTATTGTTCTTTTGTAATTAATAAAACCCAGGCATGCAACTGTGAATTTAGAAAAAAAAACAAGGAAATTTCAAACCATGTAAGACTTTGTGCAGGGTTTTTCAATTTGTAATGGCATTCATGAGAAGTAAAAAACGAGGAAATCAGCGGATCCGAGAAAAAGTTGCATGCCTGAAAACAACATTCATTTGAAATCTCTGTACGTTGATCTGTTCCATAAAATGGGCCCAAAACTGATAAACCGTCTCAGGTATTTATGAATGAATATTAATATCGACTTCAGGACAAAAACGTTGTCACTTACGGCAAATGTTACCCCGCTTTAAGTGCCCCTCCTCACAAGCCAATCCAGGCACGGATGGAACACCAGCGCTGCTCAGCGTCTCAAAGAATGGGGCTAGGGATTCCTTGACGGAGTCGTCCAAGTCATTCAAGAGAACTCCTTGAAGTCTGGAAATAAGAGTGTTGGCCGGCAGGCTTGACTTGAGTGAGAAAGCATGGTTCTGTAAAGAAAGAGCAATTAATAAAAAAGGACGCATTTAATTTAAGGCTGTAAGTTTATGGGTAGTCTGGGAACTAGATACAACAAAAATACTGCAAGTAAAACTTGCGTGATCCTCCTGGCAGTTTGTATACAGGCAGTTAGTAAGGACAGATTTCAGTGTAAGTAAAGTCTGTCCCGAGCCAATGTGGCTCATCAGGCCGGCGTTTATCTCCGGTTTCAGTAGCATGAAACGACTGAGAATATTTCTACTCCCCCTGGATGGGATGCCAGTCCATTGCAGGTTACTCCCCAGCTAATGTTGGTACCCATTTACTCCTGGGTGGAGAGGGGCAAGTGGGGGTGAAGTGCCTTGCCCAAGGACACAATATATGACCAGCGGCTGGATTTGAACCCCTGACCCTCTGATCATGAGTCACGAACCCTAACCACTAGGCCACACACTCCCCTGTTTTCAGTGTACCTAACCAAAATAACCACATATCAAGTTGAACTTACAGCTTCGCCTCGGGTACTTATCAGCAATCCAAACTCCAACTAGTCTTAAACATAGTGTTTAACACCTCCTAAGCACACATTTATTCCCTTATTTAACACACGTTGACAAACAGCCGTTTTACACTCTAAATTTAAACTTTTGCTTACAAACTAGCACCTGAGAATGGAAAAAGTGCTTTGCAGTAGATTGTCACTACATTAGTGAGAACTACAATTGTTGCTATTTTGACGTTGCAAAGGAGATGAATTTTGGTTCAGGACCACTGTAACCAAAAAACTGTGTTCACATGGGCCTCTGGTGAACCTGACTGACGTTACAACTTCAGCAGATTCACACCATTTACCCACCTTGTCCAGTAACCCTAGCAACGCATCCTTGTCCACATCTCGTCTCCGTCTGTCTCCTCCTGTGTCTTGCCCCGCATCCACTCCACCATCCTCCATCCCGCAGGACACAAGTACTCCCTCCTCCACACATCTGTCGCTGCAGAACCCCGGCACCACCTTCTCCAGCCGTTTAAAGATTCGCTGGTACTTCTTCCTCAGCTTCGACTTGGCATCCTCCGTGCTGCAGGGACCGTCGAAATAGCGGATGGATTTCTTGGACGGTGATCCAGTGTCCCCAACTTTTTCTGTTTGAAATAATGAAATTTTGAAGAAGAAGAAAAAAACCCATAAAACTACAAAGTCTTTGTAGCACGCAGCAGAATCTACTGGCATTGACTTTTTCTCACGATGAACTTCAACAAAACAAGATTGGTACAACCAATGTTGAGGATGGTGGTTTTGTTCAAATTGTTCTATAGGACAACTTTTTAAAACTCACTGAAGCACTGAGGCCAAGCATTGCCCAAATTCTGCAAGGCTGCCGTGCTGACATCCAGCGCCTGCCATTCACTGGTTCCCACATCCCCCGACGATGGAGAACACACGTAGAGTGCAGCAGGGGGCCGGTGGAAATCGTACCCCTCTTGACAGGAGACAGCGCAGACAGAACCATCGTCCAGCCAGCTCTCACATAACAGGGCACCGTGGAGAGGTGGTTCCATGTAGGGACACTCATAGGCTGGAATAAGAAAACAAGCAAGGGTACCAGGGGAAAAGGGACAGATTTGAAACACACGAGATCACCTTTTTGTATTAGGCAATATTAAAAGTTTATGTCTCGAACAGTTGTTGTAAGTTGAACAATTGGAAGAAATTTTATAAGCAATGTATTTTACATCAGCAGTGTATGCCTAATTCTTTCCAAATGCCCATGAAAAATAAATATATTCTTCCTTTCAAAATTAATTTTATCCAGAAAAAAGGGAAAACCAATGATCAAAGCATCATGTTTTCTCACGTTTTAAGGACACCGTGAAGTTGCAATACGCATGGTGCCCGGCTTCGTCTTGGGCCTGGTACCACACCTCCTTGGGTGCATCGAGGGTTGCCAAGATGCCATCAGCCTGACTACTGGTTTCCATGGATACGACCTCTGAGTTGTCCTTAAACCTCGGTGTGTCCCATGAAACCTGGAGGGTCTGGGAGCCGGTGATTTCCATCACGTCTGCGGGGCACGTGAGAATTATTGGCGGCTCCTCATCTAAAATTAGGAAACGGTACAAAAATCATCTAAAGTGCCGTGTGGAGTGCTATGGGCCAATGGTTGACTCATGTGCATGGGTACTGGATTCAAACCATGACAGGAAACATGGTGTTTATGTTTTTAGGAAAGTTTGACTAAGGGTGCATTCGAGTAGCTCACCGGATCGACTGGGGGTAAAGGCAGATGGGTTAGCCACAACAGCCCGGCTAATCGAACAGTCAACCGCGGGCCATCACGATCCTCACATGACGTCCGTAGCCATGGCCGAGCCACTGACAAAACGCCCGTTTCAAACCGAGTCTTAGTTTGAGATTTGAGATTTGAGGTTGCAAAACTAAAACAAGTTGGGCTGGAATTATATCCTCTAAGGTCGCAATGAACTCAATAAATGATTACTTTTTGACTTTAAATAAAGTTGATTTTTGGGTCCATTTGAGATTCCCGCTGTCCGGCCACCATATTTGTCGGTTTCATGGAAGAATGCTGCATGTGTATGAAGTATGTCCACCACTGACTCTGCTCCATGAGCAGGGTCTATGGTGGCTGACCCGGGTGAGCCCCGAGGAATAACGTCAGAGCTACTCCAACGGCATGGGACTAACCCGTGTCGATCTGTGTGAGCTACTCAACCACACCCGATATATGTGTTACTTGTTCATACCCTTTATCTTGAGACCTTACTTGTGGCGATCTATATTTATCAAATACACTACGGTTGGTGTCTCACCTACAACTTCAACACTGAATGAGCACTCGGCATGTCGTCCCATTTCATCAGTGGCTGTATACCCGACTTGGGTCGTTCCGATTCGTAAGACTACTGGCGGCTCAGCAGTAGAGGCGACAGTCAACTGACCGCTAGATTGGGCCTGGGGGACAGTCCACGTGACCGTGGCAGACGGGCGGCGGTGGTCAGTCGGCACGACTGTATTATTGGGACAATTTAGCCAGAACGGGGGTGGAAGGTCTGAAGAACGAAATTAAAGCAAAATGGTTATAGTTTCTGAATCATGCCATGATGCCCGGGTGTGAATCTTAATTAATGGAGGGTCATAACGCTTGTGTTCTTGGGTAAGACACTTTACTACAATTGCCTCTCTCTACCTTGGAGTATAAATGGGTACCTGTGAGTGTGAGGTGTTGAGGCACTGGTCTAAAGCAGTATAGAAGCATCACTTTTTATTATTAAATCTACTAAACTATGATGAAGATTTATGAATCTTGGGCACAAACTTAAGAAATAATTATCACAGCAGACGTACCGTCACATTCTGGTGTATGTCCAATCCACACCGCTTCGCCATCCTCTGTAATCTCACAGACTATTGGTCCATCGTTGGACAATACAAAGCCCTTGCTACAGATAAACGAACACACTGTGCCCACAATGTGATCAGAGTCATCGCAAACCACTTGTCCATTAGCAGGGAAACTGGGAACGGCACAGAACTGCTCAATAACCGGAACAGCTGAAAAATAACAAATTGATTTGTCAAAACAAATTAATTTAAGTTTTTCAAAACTTAAGGGCAATGCTGAAAATAGGCTCACTTAACCACTTTGCGCCGGGATTATTTTTGCCGAAAAATTCCAATTTTCGCAAAAGGCAACATTTTTCAAACCAACTTCTGATATACAGCTAAACGCCACAAATACTGATTCGCAACACTAATTTCAACAGTATTTGTACAATATTTCTTGCCGAAACCTCATATGTTTCAATACTCCGGGGTGTGCACTGGAGCGTAAATTGTACAATAGGCCCTGCACAACGGCCAATTCAAGATCAACACACGGTCCGCCTCCATAAGAATTCACGGACTTTGTGTGGGTGTACAAAAGGCACGAGGGATTAGCGTGTTTAGACGTCACCCGGAGGCGAGTCGAAGCAATCTTCTGAACCCGTCAGCCGTGCCTGTGTATAAGAACAGCCGGTGCGTGTTATCACGTCCCCCAATTACCTTCACAATCGAGAGTTGGACTGCTCCAAACCGGTTCCCCATCCTCAGTAATCTCGCAGATGATTGGTTCATCGTTAGCCAATTGAAATCCTTCGTTGCAGTTGAGCGAACATTCAGTACCAATGCTGTACTCGGGGTCAGCACAAACAACCTGACCATTCGTGGGGGAATTGGGAGCTATGCAGAAGCTCTCAGTTACTGGAATGGCTGAAAAAGTGAAAATTAAATATGGTTTGCTTTGTTTTTCAAACTTGACAGAAACGTAAAAATAGGCATCACTCGAAATCCACAACCAACTACCTTCACATTCAGGAGTTCCACCCCTCCACATCGCTTGACCATCCTCTGTAACGTTGCAGATGATTGGTCCATCGTTGGCCAATTGAAATCCTTCATTACAGGTGAAAGAACACTCAGTGCCAATGCTGTAATCTTGGTCGTTGCAAACTACTTGTCCGTCAGCAGGGGAACTTGGAACAGCACAGAACTTCTCTGTAACGGGAATGGCTGAAACAAATTCAAAACAAAATCATCAGATTTATAATTTGAGTTTTTTTAGGCAATGGCCTGAAAAAAATCCTTCTCTCAAAATCTGTAATTACCTTCGCATTCAGGTGCTGCACCCCTCCAAATTGCTTGACCATCCTCTGTAATCTCGCAGGTGATTGGTCCATCGTTATCCAATAGAAAGCCCTCGTCACAAACAAAAGAACACGTAGCGCCAATGCTATATGCCGAGTCATCACAAACCACTTGTCCATCAGTGGGGGAATTGGGAACACCGCAAAACTGCTCAATATCGGGAATGGCTGAATAAAATCAAAACGATATCATCAGATTACTAATTTAAATTGTTTTCAAAACTTGAGAGAATGATGCAAATTTACAGACGGCTCTCAAAATCTTACCTTCGCATCCTGGAGTCAGACCATTCCAAACTGCTCGGCCCTCCTCCGTAAGCTCACAGGTGATTGGTGCATTGTTGGCCAATACAAAGCCCTCCTTACAGCTGAACGAACACTCGGTGCCAATGCTGTACTCAAGGTCATCGCAGACCACACCTCCGTCGGAGGGAGGGACGGGAGTAAGGCAAAACTTCTCGGTGACAGGAACAGCTGCAAACGATAAAATCGAAAGAATTGTGTTGCGCCCTGACTTTTGCTCCAACTTAATGAGACGTACATATCCCAACCTAAGCTGGGATCGATTCTCAACTTAAGTGTTCCAGTTGCAGAGCTGCCAACTTTGAGTAAGAGCTGAGAGTGAGAATTTGGTGATGGTTGATGAGAAGTAATCATGATAATGCAAGCGCAAAGCCCTTACCTAAAGGTGTGCGTTCGGGGCCCGCTTTAAAAAGTGAACTGGTGGGGGCTAATCTCTTACACAAAAATCTGTCCTGAAACACAATGCCTTCTAGGTAGCTTATATAGACGGTGGTAGGGAAGAACAAAGCTATTGACATTTGACAATACACACGTTTTGTTTCAAAGGGTCACACCGTGCTGACCGGCATCAGTGGGCAAACAATGTGTCCAATGTGAGCTAGGAATATTGACCCCGGTTCATCGGGTAAACAATCGACCAATGAGAGCTGAAAGCGATTAGCCCTCATCAGCGCCTTTGTGCAGGGTGGTAGATATGTCTATTCTTGCTCAAACAATGTATGAACAAGAACTTCGTTCAACTTTAAACAAAGTTCTTGTTCACACATTTTTTGAGCAAGAATAGACACACTTGCAACAAGAGAGGGCGCTATTCAAAAATAATGGTGGTTCCATAGACATATAATAAAACCTAGACACGACATTATCTGCTTTTACGTTGTAAATTCTGTGAGCAAAACGGGCTGCATCATGCGGCTTAATTACGCGATGCGCGAATGTCATGCATATGGCTTCGATTTACGCGCATACTTCTTAGTTATTCTTTACGCGCAGCATTTTGCTCACAGGCGCAATAGCAAATGTCGTGTGTAGGTTTTATTATATGTCTATGGGTGGTTCTTGTTAATCGTTTAAAAAAAAAACATAATCAGACACATCTGCAACAAGGAAGGAGGGCGCTATATTAAATCAGTGGTTCATTTTGTTCATTTATTTTTTTAGACTGGTTCCCAGTTCCTCCACTGTCCTTCGGACTTTGAATGTAGGGACCGGTAGCGGGTAATAGATTAAGAATATTTCCTTCTAATGTATGTAAATTCATGGCCTTAAATGGGAACTAACTACTAGCCCCCATATTATGGGGTGCTATATTAACACAACTGTGATTGCTCATGCACATTTGCAAAAGAGAGGGCGCTATACCAACATAATAGTGGTTCTTGTTCATGTATTAAAAAAAAATGAAGTCACAATTGCAACAACAGAGGGCGCTATATTAAAACAATGGTGGTTCTTGTTCATTGTAGCAGACCAGTATAAACTGCTACATGTATAAACCCCAGTGATTAATATACGCCCGCTTCCGAAGTTCAGGAAAATACTCACAACTCTCAAAGGCATTTGAGACCCCCATCAATTAAAGCTTAATTCATAATCTTTCATTTTTTGTTCAAATTTTGGAGTGTTTAAATGATTAACCCCTGAAGTAGTCCCATCTCGCTAAAATTAAAAAAGATATTTGTGCTCCATTGGCATTGAAATCTAGACCAACTGTACTTTTTGTAGGGCCCAATTTCATCCAAATTTCTCAGAAACAAGAGCTCGCAGTCCTGTGCCTTCTCTTTTTTTGCAAACCCTCAAGTTCATGGCCCGTAAAATGCTCTTATACTACTAAATTGAGGGCATGTAAATCGTGATTTAGCCAGCACTTGCAACAAGAGAGGGCGCTGTATTAAAACAATGGTGGTTCATTTGTTTTTTAAAAATACACACTTTGAACAAGAGAGGGCGATATAACAAAATAACAGTGGTTCTTGTCCATGTATTTTTTTTGAAAATCAAAGGTCACCTTTGCAACAACAGAGGGCGCTATATTAAAACAATGGTGGTTCTTTTGTTCTTTGCTTGTATCATATTCATAACCATGCGCACCATGGGCTAATATTAATTTGGCTGCCCGGCCGTATTGTTTAAACAAATTCTATGGGGGCTCGAATTTTAAAACAACAGTGGTTATTGTTCATGCATTTATTTTTTTTAAATAGACACACTTGCAACAAGAGAGGGCGCTATATCAAAATAACAGCGGTTCTTGTTCCTAAAATAAGTTAGGCCTATGCATTTTTTTATGATGTTGCAAATTAGTTCAACCATCAACTGCCAAAAAGTGCCATCACTCTCATCATGCTTATCAAGGAATACAAATCCACTTCACAAAAAAACCTCCTATTTACCTTTTCTGAATCTCAGCCGTTTCCAAGTTCCTGACTGTGACTATGTGAGCACATTTTACACGCCATGGTTTAAATAATGTGGGCTGTTCTGCTGCCGATCCGACTACCGTTGTTTTGATATAGCGCCCTCTCTTGTCGGAAATGAGTCAATGTATAATACGCACGTTGGTCGGTTTCCGTCCCCAATCGCAACGAATAAACTAGACAAACGTTTTTCTCCCCATTTTTACCCTCGTGCATCTCTTGATGAGCAAGTATTCAGCGAATACTTCTCCCCCCCCCCCCCCAAAAAAAAGTTTTGCAGCTGATATAAAATGCAAACTTTTTGCCAGCGCGTACACACCGTTAAGTTAGTGTAGCGCCCTCTCTTGTCAATATTTCGTAAATTGTACAATATATCAACTGTTAGAGACTGCTTTTCAGTCCCTCCATTGTCGTTCTCAATATTTATAGTGGGATATAAACGCATTTTTTGGCCAGTCTCCCTAAATAAACTCTTAACCAACCGAGTTAATTCGTTTTCTCACTAGTTACAAACGGTCAACGGGCGCAGTAACTGAATAATGTGCGTGTCCGTCTTCCATTGTTTTAATATAGCGCCCTCTCTTGGCGGAAATCACTAGTTAGACTGGCTCTTAGTCCCTCCACTACGCGCTTTCATCATAATGGGGGTCACATAGTAAGGAGTCCCCGGGGCAGTACCCAATCGAATGTTGTGTGATGAGTTTTGAAAAACGTAGTTCGTCCTGTTTAGTGACGCCAATTCATTTACTAATTCAATAACATTTATCAAAAAAACTTGCAAGTGTCCCCCATTGTTTTGATATAGCTCCCTCTCTTGTAATCAACAAAACTTGCATGCTAGACTAGTTCCTAGTCCTCTCATTATCGGTCACGTCACACAAGGGCCAGGGACTTCATGCTCGTATTATGTGTAAGTTTTCATCAATAAAATCTAAACTAATTCACTTCGTCATTTCAATAACAATCAAACAACGACAGCAAAAGAAAGTTGGTAAATACCCGAGCAGTTCCCGACGCTGCCATCCCCGATGTAGCCTGGCTGACAGACGCACTCAAATCTCCCGCTGTCCGTTTGGCAGGCGCACCGTGCTCTAGAATCGCAACACGGGCCGTTTTCCGCCGCGCAGAGGCCGCTGCAACGGTCGGTGTCGACGTACAGGAACGTTGGGCGTGGTGGAGGTATCTCTGAGTCAAAACAAGTCGGCAGAAACAAACGCTGTTCAGAAACTCAGTGTGTAAGTGAAATATGAACTTTCATGAGTTCTCTAGAGTGCACGTCCATCCCCCCCCCTCCAATTTCCTCAGATGATTGTTGTCAAACCTCTTTGTTTACGATCTTCAGTTTCTTTCGGAAAAATACGTACTATGATTAAATTTGCCATGGATGCCTTGTGAACCTAAGTGTCATAATATTTAAGTAAAAAGTAAAAAGAGGTATTGGACACAAGATCGGGCGGAGGTTTCCCTGCTGAACGTGACGCACTTTATTTCATCCCACATACAAAAAAGTGATCGATTTATGAAAAAGAGCTTTTCATTTATTTTTGTTTTTTGTTGGGGGGGGGGGGGAGGGGGAGGTATTTTGTTACCGTACCTTCCGTAAGAACAGCCGCCAAAGGCTGCAAATCCTCCCACTTATCCAAACGGAACATACGATCAGCCGTCGCTATGGCAACCAGCTCCTTCTTGTTCGCTCCTTTGCCGATGCCGAAGGCGACGATGTTGGTCCCGTCTGTGCGCATGCGCTGTGCATACTCTGTGGGCGAATCCTCCCCGCGTGACCGGCCGTCCGTTAGAAGGACCACCAATCTTTGACGGAAAAAACATGGGGTTTTTTTATAAGGAAAAAGGGCCCTTATTATATACATACAAGGCAATGAGCCTCTTGGGGGTACGGGTATGGGGATTACAGTACATAGGGAGCGTAGGGAAAATAAACAACCACCACAAACCTCATGTCATTGAATACATTATCAAACATTATAAAAGAAAATTATAAAATAATAACCATTTCATTTTAATAACATATTAGGAGCTAGTCCTACCTTTCGGATCCAGGTCTTGCAGCCTCTAAAATCTCATAAGCTCTCATCATGCCCCCTCCCAAGCACGATCCCGGGCCTCCGATATAGTCAACCGCTTCCAACGACTCCAAGAAATCACATTTCGAGAAGTCAGAAGATGACGACGCCCCAATAAAGTCGACTCCAGTCTCCACCTTCTGGCAGCTCGCGAAGGCAACAACCGCCGGCCTGGTCCGGTTGGAGGCGTGCGAGAACAGAGACGCGACGTCCCGGGCGAAAGGCTTGACGACCTGCTTGAAGCGCTTGGCGCGTACGCTCTGAGTTGCGTCAAGCACGAAGACTAGCTCTGTTGGACGCTCCGTCAGCGGGGAGATGAGCGCTCCCAGCCGGGCAGCTGACTCACGGATCTCCCCGGTGGCGCCTGGTAGGACTTCGTTCTCGGAAGTTTGTCGCGACACCCTCTTACAATCCGAGGAACAGAACATCAATGAAAACAACATAAGGCCCACCACGGGTGAAAGAACAACTACACGAAACATTTTTTCTTCTATAATTGGCGGACAATGTTATTGGTTGCGAGAATGTGTTTATCGTGATCCTAATGTCTCCATCCTTCATTCATCCGATCCTGAACGGTCGGGCGGGATTTACCAGAACGCCAGTGCACTGTGACAGACCAAAGGAATGCACTTATCAAAAAGTTGTTCTTACTCGTCAATAAGAGCTTTCTGGATCTTGAACTTGGCCAGATTTCCCCAGAGGGCTCGGTAATTGTGTTATTTCTTCCATTTAAGTCAATTACCAAGTGCAATCTTTATGGGAGGAATGTTTAGCTAAACCCCGGGTGAGATTTTGGGTGATATGGATCCGTCAAGACCCCCCTTGTTAAGTTTGTAGTCAGTGGACAGTAAATCCTAGGAAACTGTTCCCATGGACAGGGGACAGAATTCCCAGGGTTACAGAAATTCCTTGTGGCGAATACTCGCCTTCGACAATCACCCCTGCACCCGCCTACTACGGCGCTGCATCATCATCAAAATAATGGATATCTATTTAAAAAAAATCAGAGCATGTGTCTTGCTGAGACACAATTTGTACTGAAAGCTGACACTTTTGGACAAATTTACAAGTGTTTTGGAGGGTCAGAGTTCAAATCCCATTTTCTCAACATCAAAACTCACCACGTCCAAAATATTGACCAATAGGCGATGAGAGGCAAAAGAGAATGAGACCAAACAAATGCATCGTTTTCACGCGTCAAAAATATCTGTGCACTTTACAGTACTGCTTGCATCTCCACTACTTTGGGACTATAGAGGAAGCATTGTTCTTGAGTTGCCCGAAAGTTCATTGTGGTTGATGGAAAGTGCATGTACTTCACTTATCAATGCAATCTAAAAGACATATTGACATGTGACTCGACCATCACCTTGTTTTGCAGGTTTTGGCGACAGGCGCACAAGTTTGATTGCAAGGAAATCATTCAAGTAGACGCAATGCGCTCTAAATCGTACAAATAATCAGTCGCTCAAGCCATCATCACATCTTTGTTTTGACAGATCACGTACTATTAGTACGTCATCTGTCAAAAAAAGCAAAGCAGATCGAGAAAAGATTGTCTTATCTCTCCCGCTAAAAGCCTGGATAGGTGTTTTTCCCCGCCAAAACTTTTTTTGCCTCCTGGGGTAATTCAAGCAGCCACTGCATGCCATTGTACTCTTTTCTCGATTCATGCAAAGTTCGACTGGTCTCAGACTGCTTAGTCAGCCTTAAGGAGCATTCGTGCGCACGCGCACTTGGTCAGGAAATGACGTCGAACGCTAGACGAGGTATCCGATTGGTCATTTCCGCATGCATGCGTATCGTATCTCCGTCAAACCGTGAAGGCTAGGTTTGTGTAGATGTGTACTCGAACGCCATCCCATCTTCGCTTCCCACGCGGAATGTATAACTTTGACACCCATCGTGTTAATAGAGACACCTTTGTGGAGAGGGCAATTAAGGTCAAATCCTTGAATCAACACAGCACTCCAGGGTTACGGCCCCTGCATGGTCTCTGAATTCCAACTTTGTCTTTCATAAAAAAAAAAAAACACTCCAGAAATTGGCGGTTTAAAAGGTTTGGAGTGTGCTATCTGGGCCACCGTTAAATGTAATGGACTTGTTCACCTTTTTTTCAATCAGATAAACGTGACAGGTCGAACTTCGTTTTGGCTGCAATTCATGGCTTCAAATATTAAAGAAAATGAACTTCATATAATCCTGCGCTTTTCAAACTGTAAAGCGTTTACAGAGGTAAACGATCTTGTAAGTGTCTCATTCTCAAAACTCCAATCTTCTGTCAACTTTCAGTAGTTCTGCTTTCGAGAAGGGTGGTTTCCTAAAGCACAAATCATTCACGCGTTAATTTGAAGTAAAGATTGGGATGGGTCAGATATCAATAAGACGTTTTTACAAGGTCCTAGTATCATTTAAAGTACATGTAATGCTTTTTGGGTGTGGCACCATGCAAATAGATTTTGAATTGATAATTTTCTAGCATTACATTAGTTAGGAGCTTTCCAATGAGACATCACATGAAAAAAATCGGCCCTTGACAAGTAATCAATTAATTAATTTCAACTTTTGAATTAAGAGTGGGACACTCCTAATTCGTTCTGAATAGTATGCGCAATTTCTGAACTAGAGCGCGCCATTTAAAACCACCTTGTTAAAACTGTAAGGCCTGCAAAAGCAAACAAGCAACTTTATTAGTTACAAGACATTATGTTCCTTTAAATTTCGTTCGGAAAATTTTGAAGAAGCACGCATATGCCAACTTTAATTACAAAGTACAGCAATTAGAGAAGCCGATTGTTATGGAAGTGAAAAAAATAATGTCAACTTTAATGCAATGACTAACAAATGTAATGTATGGTTGCAAGTTCGTCAGTAGCACTTGCATTCGTTTGCATAGGAGGAATCGACAATTTTGTGCATTATTTTGTTGGAAACGGTCCCACTGATGTGGTGTTCGTGTTCAACTTCAGCCCTTATGACCCCACCTAGATTGAGCAAATTTGGCTGGACACACGCGCACGGACGAAAAAGTGCAGTACCCACTCGGAGCGGCTACTCCCCGGGCCTGGCCGTTATTTTCCGTCAGCAGCCTTGTTTCCGCCCGGGGTGCTATTAGATGTCGTCGTTAACACTACAGGCGTCAATTAGGTCAAATGTATGTCCAAGGTCAGAGAAGAAAATAGTCAAATATTGAATTATGACTGACGAGATTTGAGTATAGTCATAGACGATTCTTAAACACTGACATTGTCTCTGGCTATACGTGATTACATCTCTGGATTAATTGGAAGTCCTCATTCTTTTTAAAAAATTAATTAATGAATTAATTAATATGATAGAACTGTTACAAACTGTCCCCCCAAAACCCAACCCACTTCCTCTCCCATAGCTTTTGTACAGGCTGGTCACCAACTGCCAGAACCCCTATGGATTAAACCACTCAACTGTCAAAATCTGTTGAAGGGGTTTGATAAATATGACGTCATTGAATGCTGCAACTACTTTTACTGCAATTCCATAGGCCTTATGCCTAGCAGCCAATGGCTTTGTTTTGCTGGGATATGCATAGGTGAACCTTTTTGTGCCTTCATCATGGTAACTGAATTAAATCAATCATTGCCAGGCACTCACCATGAAACCGGAAGTGTTTCCATACCTTGACATCACTTGTCAGTTATGCTTCAATATTTTCTCTGCTAAATTTAACTTTTTAGGACATGTTATCACTTTTCTGATGGCTGATACGCCACTGCAGGGGAAAAATAGTGATGGCCAGGTTTTGGAATCTTTCCGTTGACAAACTTGCCACTGTCTATTGTACTGATTTGAGCCCAATTAACAAAAAAAATTACAATGGACATAATTTTGGCTTTATGTTAATAACTCTTGATTCTTTCTGTGCGACAGAAAAATGGATCGATGTTGATCCAACGGTACGAGAATTAGAAGCAAGTGATGGAAATGACATACACTTCTGCTGGGGCAATTTCAAAGCAAATCTCAGTAAATCTCATCCAAGCCCCATTTTTTTTGTAATAAAAAAGGGTTTAAATTGCATTTCAACCACACATTTTGTTTCTCAAAAAGCTCCATATTGCATATAAAGAAAAACGCAGTTTAATATTGCAGGTAATTTGAGGAATTTATTTATCACATTGTTACAAAAAATCAGTTAATTTGGCTACCCAACCTACCCCATGATTTGCAGTAGAAAAGACTTAGAAAACACAATGCAATCTTGTTAAACCAATTAAAGGGCCCATGCAATGTAAGATTTTTTAATGCAATCCTTGAAAATGTACCTTATCAATTTTTCGTTTTGCCATTTTGAAGGGTATTTTGATGCCTTCTTGGTTTTTATGCTAATGGAAATTTCATATTCATGAGCAAAACTGTGATGTCATTCCGGGCAGAAACCTCAATGCTACAGCTTTCTCAGCACCAAAATGTTGCAAGAAATTTGAATATTTTGCCGTTGTAAAGTTCGTTTTCTTTGGTGATTCGTTGTTGGGTTAGTACATGGCAGTAAGCCAATGAGCAAACCTTTCTCACAAAATATGTATTCAATGAGCAAATTTTGGGTTCCCAATTTGAACAGAAAACCCCTAAACTGAACAGCGTCTTCCTGAAATGACATCACAGCAACAGCGCCCTCAGTTCTCCGGTAAAGCATGGAAAGTTTTAAATGTTTAAAAAGTGTGTTTTGCAATAAAATCTACCAAAAAGGGCTATCGAACAGTTTCCATACGTTTAAGAGGAGTAGAAAGTTGCACAAATGTGTTCCTCAGAAAAATTCATCACATGGTCCCTTTAAGACAGCAGAATATGTACATGTACATAACAAGTGGACAGACAATATTCTTATTTTATCAAGTTAAGAACTCTTCAGCCCAAATTCGTACAAAATAATTCTTCCTCTTTGATACACATGTATATAAAAACTGTGCGTTAGGACTTAAGTATTCTGGGAAATATTACTTTCATTTCCCTAAATTCTTTTTAATTATCATCCTTATTGCATGCAAGGACAATTATATATCCAAAAGAAATTCCCTGCACTCATTTCCAGAATCTTGATTTTCGCAACAACTCATTGAGAAGTACTCTTCTCACATGATGACCATAAAAAAAAGATAATGTTGGTAAAATTTGCAACCACGCCTAAAAACAAGCACGCATTTTGTGTACAATACTCTGGACTAATGATGTGCATCGGGTCAGATTGACCAGGCCAAACCGACCCGAAACACTAGAGACATAAACCGAATCCGAACCGAACCAAATCTTAACTACCTCAAACCGAACCGACCCGACCCAACCCGAAAAAAACCTAAAACCTTGCTTGGACAAAGTGATCACTTTTTTGTGCCTGCCCTTACCCACGTGGAATGAATTCTTTTGCGAAACCATCGTCTCTCTCTCTCTGTCATACTCAATTGGTTGATCGAGAGACACTCCGCTATATGGTATCATCACGCGGTATCATGAAAACTGTTACAATGTATCTATTTCACTGTCAGTCCCATCCGACTAAAGAAATTAATAACGTGGGAACTGAAGTCAGTTTCGGGTCGGGTCGGTTTCAGTTTCGGGTAGGGTTTGCACATCATTACTCTGGACCCTTGTGTGACTTAAATATGAGGTTCAAATTCACTGCACAATTGAAACCTTTTCCTGAGTGCAACATCAAAACTACTTTGACCAAATCTACATTGAAAGTGGAAGACAAAGTTGAAAATAGTCCAATGGATATTAAAGCACGTTAAACAAAATATACACCGCAAAAAAAAAGAAAAAAGTCCACACTTGGAGGGATCATAATTAAATCTGATCGTCTTATGATGATGTAATCTATAAAGACCTTTGGGGAATGTTGTTAGCTACATTTTGATACCCCGTTTGCTACCAAAGACTGTAAATCGTCCAAGATTGACAACGGTTTATGAAACATGATGCAGTTTGAAAAGTTGCAAATTTAAAGATTATGCAAGGAGCAATTGCTAAGCCCAAACACACACGCCCGTAATTGGTCCCTATTGACTGCGCATTGCCCGAACAAAATGTGGGTAATTCACCTTCGCGTGCTCCCATGTACACAAGCACTGTGCGATCAATATTCCCTGCCAATCATTTCGGGCAGAAACGGAAAACAAATCTCAGCTTTTCAGTCTCCACACAAACAAACAAAAATATACACAAATATCAACAAATCTAAATGTATAGCCTGATTCATTTCTAATGGAAAGCTGGTGGTGACTGCTCTATGTTCTGACACCCCCATATCCGACACCCCTCATTCCGACATAAGATAGTGTTACTCCCGTTTAGGGTTGGGGTTGGAGTTAGGGTTCGGGTAATGGATAGGAATATGTGCGGTCGGAACATAGTGGTGTTGGAACATAGGTGTGTAAGAACTTAGGTGTGTAACCATATTTTGCAGAACAAGTCCTGCACATTTTCCTGCTGTGTGAAAGGTGTCAAGCGTGGATCTCAAGCAAGCGTGGTGTGTTTTTTTGTCTTTGTTGTTGGTCATCATGTGAACAGGGTGAAGAGTTGACTTCTACTCGTTTATCTGGAGTTTGAATTCCAGGAAAGCGCAGCCCAGTTCCTTGGTCCCATAGAACATGGTGATGTTGGCTTGATATTCACCATCAGCGAGGAACTCTGGAACTTGAATATTGGGGATGTTGAACACGGAAGGTGGCAGCGAGTATTTACCCTGAAAGAAATGACAAAAGTAAAAAATCCATTAACCTAACTCCCTAGGCATTTTTGCTAGGATGCACAGGCGCGGATCCAGGATTTTTTTAGACGGGGGGCACACTTTTAGAGCATTTGCTCTGATGACTAAGGCGAGCGCGGAGCGCGAAGCCCTTACGGCGTGGGGTCCGGGGCCCGCTTAAGGGCCCCGGGAAATTTTGGATTCTAGATGCTCTGTGGTGCAATCTTAGGCGATTCCTGGCCCGTTTCCCCCTGAATTGTTTGAGCAAAAGTTGCTAAGCTTATAAGAACTTTTTAAAATATACTCTTGTTTTTACACATTTTAAGCTACTGTGTACTTCAAAGTTGCAAACCATGTATTTTCGTCTTCATAATTTCTTGCATTGTATTTACAAAAAAAAAAAGAGGAATAGCATTGACTTAGGTTGTAAACTGTTGCAACGATGCGCTGGGGCATTTGCTCCACGGACTAATTCGAACGCGGAGCACGAATGTCTTAAGGCGTGGGGTTCGGGGCCCACTGAAGGGCACCGGGAAATTTTTGATTCTATGCATTCTTTGTGGTGCAAACTGAGGCGATTCCCTGCCCCATTTCAGCAAAATCTTGTGAAGATTATGAGGATTTTTTTTTCATTATCGCTTCGGTTTGCGGTTTTCTTTATTTTTGGTTCATTAGTTGAAAATTGTTCCCTCGTATTTTAATACAAGCCTTTTAAGTTTCTTCTGTTCTTCACTTGATAACCAAGTATTTTTGACTGCATAATCAATTTCCTGCATGTTATTTTTGAAAAGGAATTGGATAGCATTAGTTTGTAAAGCATTAGTTTGTTTTAAGGATGCGTAGGGACATCATGACCCGAGGACTAATGCGGAGCGCGAATGTCTTACGGCGTGGGGTCCGGGGCCCGCTTAAGGGCCCCGTGAATTTTTTTGATAACTAGCTGCTCTGTGGTGCAATCTGAGGCGATTCCTGGCCCCTATCTCGAGTTATTTGAGCAAAATGTTTTAAGTTAAATAAGGATTTTTTTCAATGGATTAATATATGCTCTTGCTTTAACAAGACTTTTAAGTTTCTTCTGTTTTTCACTTGATAACCATTTTCGTCTGCATAATTGTTTTCGTGCATTTTATTTTTGAAACGGAATTGTATAGACTTAGTCTGTAAACTTTTGCAAGGGTGCTTTCTAATGTTTTGTATCAAGTTTAATTTTTTAGTTTATCAATAAGATAACAATTTCTACGGAAATGTTCTACGGAAACGGACATGTTTTGGACTCCTTTAAAGCGCGTGGAGGTTGCCCTCCTCCTTCCCTCCATTTCTCTCACCTTCCCCTCTTTTTCCCCGTTTTATTCATTTTTTTAAACTTAATTTGACGGGGGGCACGTGCCCCCGCGGCCCACCCCTGGATCCGCGCCTGATGCAACCTCAGCCCTGCAAAATCCCTCATCTGCCTCTATGTAAAAATTGCATACAGCGTCAATCCTGCAAAATCCTCCGTTATTTCTTGAATGTGGTCCTTGGAGGGGTGATCACTGCCTCAATCCTGCACAATACACCAGCAATGACTGTCAATATGATGATGCAGAGCCAGTGACATCCTGGAGCAGTGTGGAGGATTTTAAGTATAATTCGCTCTTTGCACGCTTCCGCCATAAGCATGCAGAGCCTCGATCTGGCAACTTTACACAATAAATATAGCCGGTTCAGTGATTCCCGTGTATACACGGGAATCACTGAACCCCGACACGGGAATCACTGAACCGGCTATATTTATTGTGTAAAGTTGCCAGATTGAGGCTCTGCATGCTTATGGCTTAACGTGCAATGAGCGAATACAGGCCTAAATTTGTGCACGGCTGAGCATAAACAACACAAGGTCCGGCCTAATACCTTGACACAGTGCATCCTTCAAAATCAGCCACATATTTTGCCATGTAGCCTTAATCCCGCATAATCCTCTGTTTTGCAAGGAGGATTTTGGGGGATTTGAGGAGGTTGGGGTTAAGTTCAACACAATGTGAGTTCCAATCCAAGGCCATAGGCCGTATTTTTGAGCAAGCAAGGGTAGTGTCATGACACCATCTTAGGCGTACAAACATGTATGAATCCAAAGTTACTGACAAAAGTTCACATACATGCACTGCTACTTTTCAAATATCACCTTGCTTTTGACAAACCTCAAAATTGAGATTGAAGTGCACTTGCTTAACTGCTTGAAAAATCACATTTTTCTTGACCCAAAAGTTAAAGAGGGTCATCATTGCAGCACCGCCATTCACTCAACTACTGCTGTAATTTGGAATGGATTGACTTCCAAAAACAATGGTCTAATGGACTTGATTAAAACAATGGTCTATGAGCTACTGTATCTCACCGCTTTGACGGGGCAACTGCAGGGTATACCCTTGGCCTTCAGTGGGGGCGGGCATCCAGCGGGCGGAACAGGGGGGAGTTTACTGCAGAAATCATCGTAGGTGCAGGACCCCAATCCATCAATGCATGGCAATGTCAACCAGATCAACTCCTGGGTGGAAAAACACACCAATAACTCATATTTTAGTTTCTTCTACTGTAAAAGAGTATGGGCTCCGTGCGCCAACAAAAGAAGGCGCATTTTTACCTCTTTTGAGAGCTCCGTGGACGGGACACACAGCGTGTGCGCACTGTACTGTACTGGTTGCGCGAAGAACGCACGACTTCCTGAATGTGCAAAAGCTATAGCCACCGTGTCTTCACGTGAGCGTCCGGCGTCGTCGGCGCGCAAATACGTTCGAATTCAACTTGCGATGGTCTCCGAGACTAATGCCCGCCTCCAATAACTTTGGATACATTCAAAATACGCAGTGGATAGATCGGGAACCAGTCTAGGTCACCCCCAACTCTCCTTTTCTGGCCGTTGATGGGGTACTTGATGGGGCACGGAACCCATGACACAAATGTGAGGCAATCTGGCAAAATGAGACGGAACTGGACACATGTGTAGAGGAGAAAATGAAGGAAGAAACTGAATGCGGGTGACTTTTTTCCGGTAAAAAATAATCCCGGTGCAAAAAAAAAAAAATGACTTCAAATTTTTTTTTGTTCTGTATTGGATAAGTAGTTTGCGGTACACATCCACTCTTGGAGAAAGAATACAATACAGGATGCATCCAGAGTCAAATTTAACAGGGGTAGGAAAAAAGTGGACCCCAAATTGATAGAATGACCATCTTGTAAGTCTGCCGTATCTACAGTTCATGCACAGAGTACAATAGGCTCACCTTTTTCTTGAGGACAATGACCGTCTTCAGGGGCGACTTGAGGTCCACACCAAAGTCGGCATCGAAGGAGACTGTAAGATCCCCTGGAAGGACGATGGGGTTGTTGGGAGAGACACTGACGCTGCCATGCAGGACAGCCGAGGGTCCACCACAGTCCTGGAAACTGAAGCCGTACAGGCCTAGCTTACCCTAACGAGACCGGAAGAGATTACATTATCATTTAACCCCAACTCCCTAGCATGATTTACTAGGAACCATACCAATCCTGGCAATATGGGAAACTGCACACACGTATTTTGGACTTTGATTCTGGAGGTGTTAAAACCCAATGTAAAAGACTGTCAGTATCGGACCCATCCTGGCAGATTCCAACAAAACATGGGGTTTGATGGATTGAGTTCTGTTATGGTTTATAACCCTACTTCTCTCAAAATCCCGTAAAACCAACCACTGGGAAAGATTTGTATAAAGGATTGGCAGGTTTAATTAACCTCGTCACTCTTACTAGACATTTGGCTTTATATCCATTGAAAGTTCACCAAAAAAAAGGATGCGCATGCGATGGACATCAGGAGATTCTGTTGGTTCCTAGCAATGGGAGTTAACGTTGAAATAAAAACTAAGACCAAATGTAAGAAATGTTTCCAATTTTGTTTAGAAAATACTTTTATCTCCACAACTCCCCATTAAGTGGCATGAGTTAAACAATGACACGTTATTCTTTCCTGGAACTTTTACAAACTCATGGCCCCGACTTGCGTTATGATCCAAAACAAACACAATCACAACAACTCCTGTGAACATTGTGCTCAACTTTTGATGACACGTACCTTTCCTGTTTTGGATTGAACAACAATTTTCTCACTTCCATACGACACACCCCAAGCGAGGGACAGCAATGCCGCAGCAACGACGAGCAAGAACGCACGGACATCCATCTTCAACAGAGGACAAAAGCTTTTTGTAAACCGACACTCAGTGCTGCAATGATAAACAGAAAAATGTGGACAATTGATAACAATAGCAGATATTGTGTAATTATTTCTGTATGGTTCCCTGTCCTTGTAGCTATTTTTATGTAGGAAATCACGAGTGTATACTTGGCACCGTACCAAGTATGCACGTGATGACAACCAGTATGTTTACCTTTTGAGTGGTACCACCAAATTAATCTTTTGAGTGGTACCACCAAATTTATATTTAGAATGGTACCACCAAATTTATCTTTTGAGTGGCACAACCATCAAGCTATACAAATAAACTGAGCTATACAAAGGATATGTGAATCGGTATGTCAACACTTTAGTACGACCAACTGCCTGTGAGTGTCCTATCAGTTGTACGATGGTCAAAACAGGTTCATAGTTTGTAACAATCAGGCAAACTTCCACACATGTATGAGACATTCACAGTATTTCTCCCTCAAGGCTCAACGTGGAAATATTAAGCATGATATTGAACTCTTTAAATTAAAAGGCCAGTGTTGTAGCTAGAAATAAGGCCGGTTCCTTGATTTTTCCCAAGAGATTTACAAATAGTGTACCTTTTTAAAAATGCATCCAAATATAAGAGAAGAATTTCTGAGAACAACTTGGTATGTGGATGGGGATCATGCCGACTCTCAATACTGCGTTATAAAAATTAAATTCAAAACATTTTTAAGATTAAATTTTAGCCAGGCCTAAATTTCTGAAAACTCTTCTCAGTCTCACTCAGACTCAGTCCAAAAACGTGGCTTACAGTGTGAGCGCCTTCTCCTCAAAATTCTACCGAGTTCACTTCCGAATTCCATTTTATCGGATTGGAAAGAACGTATAGTATCCAGACGCAACTTCTTTGGTTGTGTACAAAGTCTATGGACTAAGTTAGCCCCATAAATGTGGTAATACTTTTAGGACCCCTTTCCTATATAACGTTAAAAGACTCACCAAAACAGCTGACTAAATGACACTCAAAAGTGACATTCTGATATTTATTGACACATTTGAACATTTGGCAATGAGAATCAGTGAACGAGGATGCAGCTACTGAGCTAGACTTGCCAAGCGCAGCCGGTGCTCGGCATCGACAAGACCGTTATCTTGTCGCGCATTCTTAAGAATGTGCGCTCAATCTGGAAGAGTTATTTTTTGCGAAGATTGCGCAAGGATCCAGTTGCACATTCTTAAGAATGTGCACGCACATTCTTAAGAATGCGTGATTTTCAAGAATGGGCACAACATGGTCACTGCGTGACTGCGTCAGGCGGTCAGGTTGTAATATTCTTTCCAATATCGAAGTGGCTATCGTTACGGCACTCGTTGTTTAGCGCCCTCTACGATATTTTTTTGATACGTACGCAGGTATATAATTATTTGTTTCCGCACGTTTTATCGAGCAGTGCGCCAGCTCAGCCGATAGAGAGTAGGATTTTGCACCGCGAGGTTGCGGGTTCGAATCTCAGTTTTGCACTCGAATTTTTTTCCTTTTCTAACCTGAGGCTTTGGAGGATTTTTTTTAAAAGGGAAATAAAGTCCGAATTTCATAAAGTTCAAATTCACTTTTTTCCTTCTAATTTTATATTTTCTTGTCATGTTTTTTATAAAAGTTGCCAGGTTGCAGTATTACCGTAACGATAGAAAATGGGAAATGCGTTACGGCTGCCGTAACAATAGCCACTGCGTTCCAATATTCTCCTTATTTTAGGAATTAATCGTTAGATAAGGTTCATACAAATAAGATTTTTCCAAATGGACCCTACCTTTGCATGTAGAAAACTTTTTTTTTCACCTTCAACTATTTTGTGTGGGCGCACTAAATAAAGGCCGCTCCCGTCCCTTTGATCACCACAAACGCAATGTAGGTACTATACATATATACAGTCGACATCCGCCGCCGCGCCACACACACCGTTGTGAAAGAATAGCTCCCTCTGTTGATTCCACGACTCTCGCTTATGAGTGACGTCTCGGAACCGGACTTTTGGAAGCGCTGTGTTTTATATCATGCATTTCATGTTGCGCAAGTGAACTCAGATTTTTTCGTAATGAAAAAAATACTCAAACAAACAGGTTTTATTAATTTGTATATCTGAACGTGTTTATGTGACATCGATGGAAAATATCACTCAAAACCTAATAATACGGTCAATATAGTGAACGCAAGTGTTGCACCAACCATGCACCAACTATTAGTTTAAAGGGCTTCCCATGACCAAATACAATAAGCTACGCAGTGCATTTGAGATGGGGGTACCCGACGAAACCCTAAAGTTTGATTCAGTATATCGCAAATAAATACATTACGCTGTGTGAAGCCGGTATCTAGCTTGTGTTTACTACAAATTTACGCCAAAGTAAACCCGTAAAATGACCAACCCACAATCTCAAATGTAGTCGTACAAGGCACATAGACTTCCAAGGATCTTTGGTCTAACGATCCAGAAATGTCATTTAGTTTATGACTCATCTTGTCCGGGCGATCGTCGTGAGTGCCACGATCGGGGCGGCGAGTCGGACCCATGGCCCAGTTCACAGACGGAGGGAACGACCCCGTGTTTAACGGCGGCACACCGGATGACTCACCCCGGTATCAGCTGGGTGGGATTAGGGTGAACGGCGACCAGAGCAACGGTCATCAGACGGAGTCCCGAGTACCGCAGCAGAAGGAGCCAGTGTACGTGAATAGTCACAGTTTTATGAACGGCAGTGCTTCAGAGAGTGAACTTCTCCAACATCTTAGTGAAACCATTAACAACTTCAGTCTCAGTCCAAGACCACCATTTGGTGCCCAATCTGACAGTGCTCCAACCAACAACAGCAGCACTGCCTCTTCTCCGACAAATCTACCCGCGGTAGCTCCTAAGGCGAAACCGTCCAAGACCAGAACACAGCATCCAAACCACCGAGATCGCAGCAATTCCTCCGGCCAGATGGGGTACCAATTTCATGTCAGTGAAAACGATCCGAAACCGGGAAGTCCCCACAACGGGGGCGGGGACTCCACATCGGAGAATAGAACTCTGAGATTTGTGGGGAAACGAGGCCTTTCTGTGGGCGGAGATGATATCACGAGTGCAAAGGGCACCGTGAGGGGCGTGACAAACAGGGTTAAGGCGGGTATTATGAACTTTACGTACAAGCCGCTGAACCATAAAAAGGTGAGTATATTTAACATTCAATTGTGTCTTAATTAAAAAAGTGGGTTGCACTTGCATGTAAGATGTAATTTATGTAAATTCAGATATTTTTGCATAAATTGTTGTAGTTATTTATTGTTCATGCAAAGTTAGATAAGAATATTTCTTTGGTCAAATATATGGTTATCTATTTTATAATAATAATAATAATTATCATAACTTTTCTGTTATTGACACACATGGTTGATTGTGTGCTGCTCAATTAAGTTTTGTGTTCTGGTGACCGGCCAGAAATGTGGCAAGAAAATTCTGTTTCTTATATTTCAATTACAGTGGCCTTTAATTTTTCATGCATGAGAAACCATACGTTAATTTTGTGTAAAGAAAATTGTAAAAGCGTTTTTATTGGAAAAGGCATAGCATTTTATCAAAATATTCACAAATAGTTTTTTTTCATTTAGTTGTTTTTTTCTATTACTTATTAAACAGAGTAAAATTTCTCCAATTTTAAATTTACAGTGTAACTCGCTCAACTATCATCTTTAATTATTTCCCAACGCCAACGGACTTTAAACATAAAGGCAAAAATCATCGCACCCTACAGGAAAAAACATGTTTCTGTGTACACAAGATATACTGTCTGGATTAATTGCATCACTTATCTGTTGGAATTTTTGTTCCCCTTTGTGTTCCATAACAACCTCTCAGTTGTTAATCTTTCGTAACCGACTTTTTATTTTTACGGGCAGTAGACCTATGGCCTGGAGTAGCAGTTCAGTGTGCTTTTTGACAACTTGAAATTTTCAGTATTTTTGTTGCAAGTAAACAATCGTGTCACAGTTGATAATAGTACAGTGCGTAATACAGATAATGATAAGAGAGCCTGGTTTACCTAAACCATACCCGATCTTTAAAAATCCATCGGGAGTTGGTGGAAGGTAGATTTTGGCTGTTTTGTCGGATAGACGTGTATTTGGTGCCTATAGTGCCAACATTCTGTTTGTAAATTTAACAAAATGGTTACAGTAATGTCTTTTTTCAATTATGATTTTAGGTTCACGACCAACATTTTATAAGGTCCACCCTTTTCTTGTCATCGGCTGGTTTTGATGAGTTGTCTGTTTAAACAGTGGGTGTGTACCGTTGACAAGTTCTCCCCCCCCCCCCCCAATCAATGTTTACCATCAGGCTATCGAAATATAGAGAATCAGATAAGAAGTTGTAAATCTTGTTGATTTTGTCATGGTTGGAATTCCCCACAGAAACCCAACGCCTGAGACTGACAGATCATATTTTTATGTCGTGATATCAGTTGTTGATAAATGGGGATGAAAATGCAAACATTTAGTTGAAGCAGATTTATTCTTGAACCTTTCTGCTGTCTGATCAGTCACAGACAGTCAAAAAAATCAATCCACTTCCCCTGCCATGCGGTTTTACACAGTCTAGTCACCAACAGTCAGATCGTATTTAGGGGAAGCTCTTGGACTCATCAGACTCAGTCAACAAACAAAAGCAAGCAACTGGTAGGCACAGCTGTCTTACCAATCGCCTACAGTCAAAATAAAACTGTATCAACTTTATACATAAACAGTCACAGCCAGTCAATCCTGCTTTATAAATGTAGGCAAGGAGGCGTGTTAAAATAGTCACTTTATTGATTTTGACTGAAAGGACAACTTTGCACAGAATGCATGTTTGCATAAATAGGGTTAATTTAATATGATGCAGTTTTCTGTACTTGAAAACAAAAACGTAATTAAATACTCATGCATACATGTACATTATTTATGTAAATTATGAATTATCAGTGAGGGTGCATAAAAAAACTTAAGGGTAAAAGCTTACCATATGTTGTTTGTCCATGAGTAATGCATCCATCATAATATTTCAGCTTTATGTTGCCTGATAATTTCATTCATTTATTCATGGGAATCTAACATAAAAAATGGCAATCCTTGAGTACCAAAATGTACTAAGTCTAATTCTGTAAAAAATCCCAGTATTTTACACCTTAATCAAAGTTATCAGAAAAACAAATCGGATATTTTAAAGGGTACCCCATTTTTGTAACATGTATGTTAAGAACAGAAAGAAACTAAATTGTAAAGCTGCACAGTTTTGCCGGTAGGCAGCCATTTCGGTGCTCTTGGCCATAATCAACCTCTCACAGCCACCGACACTGCCCTCACAGGTACCCATCTACTCCTGGGTGGAGAGAAGCAATGAGTGACAAAGTGCCTTGCTCAAGGGCACACGCACCATAACCCCAGGCTGGACTCAAACCCGCACCCTGCAGAATAACCCGCAGACCACAAATTCAATGCTCCTTCTTGTTTGTTAACCACAGAAAGCAGTCAACAACGACGACGAGCGAGACAAGATCATCATGTACACCACCAGCATGCGCATCGTGCGGCAAACGTTTGAGGACTGCCAGTTTGTGCGCAAGCTGTTCCAGAACCACCGGGTCAAGTACGAGGAGCGGGACCTGTTCATGAACTCCCAGCACCAGCAGGAGCTGGGGGACAGGCTGGAGGGGGAGGCGCAGGAGGCTACCCTGCCGATTGTCTTCATCGATGGGGAACTTGTGGGGGTAAGATATGGTTCCACAATTATAACCAATCCATTGTTTTGACCCATCACAGCTAACGAAGGTCTGATAAACATGCGATTGTGCGTGACGCACTGGTGATACGCATGCATTGTTGCCCACATATGCGCAGTGGGTCCAGCCCAATGGAAAGGTCCATTGAAAATGGAAATCGGGATACACACATGTGACAGAGCAATAGTTGTTGACCATCAAAGTTAGACGGTGTTTTACTGGAGTATGAGGCTATTTTTCTTATTTGCTCTTTTCAATCATTTGACATCACTGTTCCAAGCTCATCAGTTGTCATTCCCAACCTCATTTAAGTTTTGTTTGTAGTCTCTCTGTGAAATTGATAGTTTCTTGAGATCACCTGTCACAACTTGGCCATTGCAGCACTCACAGCTATACACACATAGTAAAATCACAGGGAAAATCACATTCTTTTTTAGACCTGTCCTGTGGCTTTTAATGGGTCATTGAATTCAGAACAGGAATAAATAGCTTTTCATTGTCAGAGCTGTGACTCAGTGTTTTTGTCTGGAATGATTGGGACAGTCCCCAAACACAACAAAACCATTAAAACATTTCCCTGAGTCGTGTCGCGACGCAAGTATGCATTGACAAACTTTTGGAACTACATGTAGATCCAAAAATAGCCCAACAGGAAATAGGTAAACAACTCCAGATTAATAGGTTACAAAGGGATTATATATTACAATGTGCTCTTTAGAAACTCCATTTTTATGTTACATTTACAGCTATATACAATGAAATAGCCAGAAGGCGTACACAGCTTGTGCTTTCCAATTTCCAAAAGCACTCAGAACAAGAAGATGGCTTTGAAATGACTTGTTATTCACAAGGTGTTTTGAACTGACTATTTTCAATAATTTGATATCAACTCTGTGAACTGGCCCAAAAAAATGTAATTGCAGAAGATGTTATGGGGCACATTTAAATAGCAATTGAATGCATGACTGCAAATTGTATGTCAATGGCTTTGAGTGATCTTCTACAAAACTTCTACACGTATCTTTTTGTTCTAAATGTAAAGAGCATGCAGGAAGACAATAATACCAGTCATCATTAGATACAAGGCAGTTATGTACTCTGCTTGACATGTATGCCTGTATTATAGTGGAGGCATGCTCACAATCTAACAAATTGAACTAAATTGTCCCATATTAAAAGAAAATGTACAAAATCCCTCTTTTCTTTTTCTCTGAAACTCATTAATCTCTTCACTGGAATTGATGAAACCCATCACATCACTTGTAGTGCTGTAATTGATGAAACCCATCACATGTAGTGCTGTAATTGATGAAACCCATCACGTAGCAGACATAAAGTCTGCATGTAAATTTATGTAGGCTTCATGACGTACCGTATCATTAAGTTCTCAGCGAAAGCGCATTGGATAGCTCATCTTGCTGCTGAATTGGACCAACTTTCCACTTTCCTTTACATGATCAAAGCAAATGCTCACGCACAGTTTGCCATGGTAACCAATTCCCTAGGCTTTACCCAGTTATTCAAATGTAGAGTACTGGAATTCACAGTGGGATCAATTTAAGCTGTTCAGAAAATGTGTAGCATAATAAGTTGTCAGGGGAATATATGTACATTTTCGTTCACAAGTACCCCCTCACCAAGAAAATACAGTTGGGGGTGACCGACCGACGCCATCTTGCCTGACTGCAATTTTGCCGCGACGCGCTGCCGTACGTACCACTGCGTGAACATAATACAAATCCCCTGGTGTACGTGCGTCACACACAAGGAACGGTGGGCATCAACCAGCTAAATGTCCCGCCCATGGGACGTCGTTGCTAGGTAAAAGGGCGCCCTCTTTCGTTGGCACACAGAGCCCATACCATGTACATACATAGTACAGGTACCACTTGCTCTTTCCAAGGTCTATCATTCCCACAATTGTATCAGGAATGCATTGTGTAGTTTTTGTCCTTTTCTTTTGTAGGCATCTTTTTTGGGATGGACCCAATACGGGTGGCAGATCGTATATTATACATACAAGGTGTCCAAGGTTTTAATCAATTGATAAACGGTATCTGTCCTGTGACTCTCAATAATGCCACTTTCACAAGCCTGACAATTAAGGTTTGTCCTTTTGGATGGGATTCCTCTCTCAACAAAAGCGTCCTTCCAAACAGGCAATGCCACATGTACAATGTACATGTAGGGTATATCATGGAGCCATTAAACACATCACCAAACAAAATTGTGAGGCTTCGGAAGGGGTCTGCTATTATTTCACAGAGAGTTTGGCCACAACATTTTTAAGTTGCAGAGTTTTAAAAAGTGTGCAAATCGTATAGGTTGTCAAATGTAATACATCTTTGTATTCAGGTCAAATGTAATACATCTTTGTGCCCTTTTTTTGGGGGGGGGGGGAGAGGGGGCTATTTGAATTGTTTTCTATTTATATCTCTGAAAAGCAGTCTGTTTCTGTTCTGTTTCTGTTCCAAGGCGTGTATGACAAAACTCAAAACATCAGAATGGCCGAAGACTAAATAATCAGGTGTGTCAGATCCACAATATCCACGAAAAAAAATCATGGAAGAAAAGTTAAACAGTGCAAAATGCTTGGCTCAGCCGAAGCTTGAAGCAGTTAAAAATCCAAACAATAAGGAACAAAAGAAACGTAGCTGGCAAACGAAAATTGTATACAAATTGGGTTAAAAAAGACAGCTTGGAGCTACAAATGTATCTAAGAAACGCTCGGCACACTGGTGACACCTTGCTTCTTCTGAGCCAGATGATGTGACTTTCACATGTAGATGATGTTAAAAATGAGATTAAAGAATAAAGGTGCAATTGAATTTCATTATAATAGGGGAGATTTGAGACAAAGTAGAGGATATAGATACTGCATGAATTGGCAAATGAAAGCTATTCAAAATACCTCCTCATCACCCCCCCCCCTCCCCCGATCAGAAGTGGCGTGTTGAGACTGCAAAAACAAACATTCCTTGCCGTGATTTTTCACTGTTTCCTTTTGTGCACAGTACTTAGAAGTGAGCATACATGCATACCTCAGGGCTGTAGCATTTTGAATGCATGCTTGAAATGCCAAAATGGTGCGATTGTGAACAAATATTGTGCACAAAAATATAGGAGTTTCTATGCACCCTGACAATTCAAAGTACATTATGAAGTTTCCAGACGCCATTCAAACATAGTTTCGGGGCAACACTGGAGCAAATTGTTAGCCAGATTTGCAAAGCTTTCAGGGCAGAAGCACAGTGGGAGTTTTCAGGTTTTAAAACAGTCGTGGCATGAGTGATTGCCAACAATAGGAAAACTGTTCAATGCAAGTTCAATAGAGTACTCTGATTTCAATGTGTCGCTGGTTGCTGAAACTTGAATCTACCGGTACATTAGGAATATTTTTTTTTTAAAGTCTGTACAATTTTTTACCGAATGTGTGAGGTTATTATTTTTCTTGTCTTATATTCTTGTTATGCAGGACATTGAGAAATTGGAGGAGCTAAATGAGACAGGACAGCTGCGAAAGATCCTCGAGAGATTCGAGGTATGACCGTCAAAACTTTCACAGTGTGTTCATGTTTTAGTCAAATTTGTATCCTTGTGGAGACATCGCTTTGTTCTCTTGTACAAAATCGTGAGAGGGTCGGAAAGCTATTTTCAAAATGCTCCTATTTTCACCAGAATTACTTTCCTGGGTTAAATTCCGACCAAATATTCTTTACACAAAATGCTTCGATTTGCGACGCATAAGTTTGGAACTTCCTAGTTTTTGAGTAAAATTCCTGTATCTATTTCGTGAAATCCTTGTGGAGACCTATTCACCTTTAGAAATTGCCTTGTGGAGACCTCTACAATCTTTTGTTCCGTATTATACCCGGGCATCATTTTTTCGAAACAATGCACATGTGAAAATGTATACAGAAATTTAAGACTTTTTCTTATAAGGAACAACAAATACTTTGCAACAAAAGGACAACAATAATTTGGAAATATATCCCATGCCCAGATGCACACACATCCACTTGTCAATTTCTTCTGGTCAATGGTGTATTGATTTCAATATTTCAAAAACTGTTCCCCAGCTTTTATGGGAAATATATAGGCCTACACATCCGGATCATCTGTCGAATGGACTAATATATGGTATACGTCATAATTCATCTTTTATTTTCAGTTCACAATACGGCCCCGAGACTGGACCCCACGCTGTGCCTTTGTGTGACACACTGTGGCAATTTTGGCGTTGTCACACTAAATTCACACAACTTCCGCAAATTTCCTTGGGGAAGCCAATAAAAAAAGCATTAGAAGACATTGTATACCCTGAAGCGCACTTGCTTTTCACCTAATTGTGTGTTGACGTTGTATGTAGGTAGTATTCCTGAGAATTTTCATCACTTGGGAATACGACCTTGATACTAATCCATGATTAGATTTCGTGCCGCAGTTCCTATTGGTATTAGGCAGAGGACGTGAATTATGTTCGACACCTTGAGTGTCAGTCACGCAATATTGATTTATCTTGTCCTTCCATTGCAATATTAAGTTATGATTCATGGCAAAGTTATCAAGAACGAGAAATCTTAGATGATGTTGAGGCTGGCATATTGGATGCTGGATAACAATTCCATCTAACCAATCATCACTGTCTACAGCCCATTATGTTCACTTGGCAGTGAGTCGGACATAATAAAATGACATGGTGTATGGTAGCACCACACAAAAAAACCTCCTACATGCACACATGAATGCATATTTCATGATAATGCCTTTTTTGTTGATGTTGGATTTCCAGAAAATGCTTTGAGAGAGGAAATTGATCGCTCCATTTTAATCGTTTTATAAGCTACCCCCTGAAAATGATTGAAAGTGGGGGTTTTTTTTTGGGGGGGTGCCATACAGAATTTGTGCGTGACTTTTTTTCTTATGTATTTTTGCAGAATTGGCGAGACTATGCAGTCAGAATACAATAGGGTTGTCCATTTTCAAATAATTGAGTATTCGATCACTCAAAACTGCGTTTGACCAAATATTCGGATATTCCAAACTGCCAGCTGCAACTGCGTGCTGCGCTGGTGAAAAGTTGCCCGGAAAAGTGTGCCGGTAAAAATGTGCATATGGCAATCGATATGGGGCGCTGGAATGTTTTGCAGTATTTTATAAAGTTCGCTTTAAGTTGCTAAAACGATGTGAACAATGAACCTCTGTCAAAAGAGAAGTTACCAATGACACAAATGTGGCACCTGATAATAAAGCATCGCAACTTTACAATAAAATAACATCACAGTTCTGTGTGCATGTGTGTATTTTTTTTCTTCATTTTTTTCTATATTCAAACCGGCAAAAAGCTAAATTTTCAAATATTCGGGTGATGATTAAATATTTGACTATTTGGTATATTCGGGAGAGCCATTGAATACAATTATTCATTCAACCAAGATCCTTCAGCAAAAATCTCCCCCCCCCCCAACAAAACAAAACACCAAATATGATAAAATAACCAAAATCCTAAACATGTAGTGACAATAATATAACTGCGTTTTTATGTTTTAGTTGTGAGCGTGTACAATTGTCTTTGCAAAAAGACGAAATATGCGTGATTTTTATGCATTGTCCATTTCTGCATTTGAATTCACTTTCCATTCAGCATGCACTCTGTTATATTGACTGGAAATCAATTAAGGTCCACACAGGAACTCCTTCCACTCGTTTTCCGCTGGATATTGAAATTTGATTAGAAACCTGCTGTGAGAGTCTTCCTAAGCCATTACAAGCCCAGCCAGAGTTGGGACAAATGAAAAAGAAAAAGCAGGCAGCGTGCATGCTCCAACCCATATGTTTAACAAATGTGAAACTACAGTAAAGCTACATTGAGTATCACATCAACATTATTTGTGTGACAGACATGACAGATATCACGCTACTTGCTTGATAAACAAAATGGCTGTACGTATTCCTTTCTCAAATCTTCAAAATAAAATATGCTGTAATATTTTCAGATTTACCACAAATAACTCCTCTTCTCTTCTCTGCCGCAGAAAAACATTCCGACCTCGGACTGCTCAGAGTGCGGCGGGTTCCGCTACATGCCCTGCCAGGTCTGCAGCGGCAGCAAGAGGTCGCTGCACCGCAACAACTTCACGGATCAGTTCCAGGCGCTGCGCTGCTCCAACTGCGACGAGAACGGCCTGCAGCGGTGCATGCTGTGTAACAAATAAGGCAGGTACATGCATGAAAACACTGATGCTGAAAACACTTCGACTCTTCAAACTGCACTTTCCCAAACCAATAGTAGCAGTCAAAGCAAACCCTTCAGTACATAAGATTTGATTTACACTATACAGATTTCCTAACAGTTAATATGTATTCTTAAATATTAGTATTTGATTTTAATATGAACACGTACAATTGACTAATTCCTTGTTCCTGACAAAAATTTGCATTATTTTTTACGAGTGTAAAATTTGTAGTTGTAATAGTTATGCGTGCATTTTTGATACGCATCTAAGCATATTTATGGACACATTTGTGATAAGGGTACCAGTATACATGTTCATGTTGAAAACCACACGATTTTTATTGTAAAAAGGAGTTTCCTGCTACTGCACAATGCAGTGATTACATATGCAAAGTTCAACATGGTCAGAAAATTTTGGTGGACATCGGCTAAAAATTAAAAATACTTAAATGTATTGTACAGTAGGTTTCATATATCCAATTGCAAATAAAGCACATTTTAGTCGGACACTTTTATCAGCCCTACGTACAAGACATTGTACATGTATGTGTACATGCTCTTTAAATAGATGCATGTAATGCATTGTAAGTATTAAAATGTACGTGTACATACACTGTATACTACGCATACATCTGTACATGTACATGTTTTTCTATTATGAGGATGAAATTATCTCCAAGAACAATGTCCCCGGACTAATGGGTTGCTGCACATTGAGGTCATTAGATCAATAGCGTAATGGACATTTGATGTACACGTACTAATGGACAATTTGTCCCATAAGTTCTCAATCCTGTTGGGCGGAAGGAAATACGCAGCAAAAGTGCGTCGAGGTCTTAGTATTTACATGTACCAGCAAATTGAAGTATAACTATGTGCAAATATTGCTCCTGAACAGAACGGTAATTTCTTTTTTTTCCAATTTATGCATTTTTTATTGGTTTAAGTTGTAATAGAAATATTCCACGATACGTTCAGATTTGTATTTTTTGTAAGGTCACACAAGGTGCTGGTGACTACATTTGTTCACTCATTTATCATCAAGGGTCTATAATAAAAACTAAAAAAGCACAGCAATTCATTGACAAATTTCCGGAGAGTTAATAAAAGAAGAAAAATTACATATTTAAAGGTAGGGTATATCAGTTGTGCGTTTTTTTTTGCTTGAAGCAACAAAAATGCTGAAAATCTAGAGATGGGTGTTTAATAACTAATCTGATGAAGTTTCAGCTCTGCGAATATTGTGTATTCCGAGAAAAACAATATTCTAGGATCTCATTTTCAATTCAAAAGTTTCTGAGTCTTGTTTTGAGTTGCGCCCGAAATCAGCGTCCGGTACACATTCTCATTCAACCGATTGCAGATACGTGATGTCACGCACTGAACTGACAAATAATAGCAACTGTTTACACGTGTGCATATTGTCAATGCGTGCACGGAGCGATTCACAGATGCCAAATAAAAACAAACCAACTACCGGTACTAATGGAAATTTTCAACGATACGTCACTTGACAGTTCGTTGAAAATGGCTTTCCTTCGTTGTTTTCTTCAAAATTGCAGCATGCCAGAAAGAATAATTTCACAGGGAGTTAAACAATGATAGTGCTGTTACTATCTTTAAACCAAGTAAGCTCTTCAAAGTTCAACAGTAATTTTGCCAGTTACGTTTTGGATAGCTGCAAATATGATCCTCTACCTTTAAAGATTTGCCATGAGTGTTATCAAGAGAAAAAAAACAGAGCCGGAAAACGTATTTAATTTGGTGATAACACATTGTAACAACAGTGGTCACTGAAGCTGTTAGTGGTGCATTGAATAATGATCTAAGTTATTGATGTTTGAATTTGTAAATTAATTTTTTTTTTTATGTGTTGAGTGCTTTTTAATGATATTCATGTGAGGAATAAGATTTGTTGTATTTGTCTTGCCCGTGCTCATTGTTAAATTATCAAACACTGTCTGATAGCTGTCAGTTTTTGTTGTTTTCACAACTCTCTGACAAGAAGAATGTTTAATTATAGAAGTAGAAATGCCAGATGTTGAATCAAATGAAGGAGACAGTGCTGAGGTTTGAAGATGGATCAATCCCTGCGAAAGAAAGAAAAAAAATCTGTTCGTTTTATGTATGCATGCTGATCAGTGCCTATATTTTCATAATACTGGTACTTGACATGACAAATGCATTTATAAAGGTCACTGCGGTACACAAGCGAAATTTACCTTGAAAAATCAATTGAAATGAAATTCATTGTTTTGGTTGGATGGCCTTTATGTGAGATAAATAAAATAAGGAAAAAAGTGATTAATAGTTGTGTCTTTCCAATGAAATAACAAAACAAATTCCATTAACCTACAATGTATTCTTACTGGCAAACAGAACCGCTCCAAAACATGTGTATTTGCTCAGTGTGTATCAGTTTTGTAATTTGTATAACCTAAGGGAAAAAAACCAACAACTTACATGTTTTTACTGCAGTATTTCAGCTGTATCATTACTTTCCAAATTTTAATCAATAATAATGAACAGAAGAAAGAACAAGCACCCACTATTTAATGTTGAAATATTCACAAATGTACTTGAAGAATTGCCTTAGAAAAATATACTTTGAAAGTAAAGGGTAAAAAACAATTTTTAAGAGTATGTATATTTTGGCTGTAATTTATTAACCTGGTATGCAATATATCTTTGATTACAATATGTGTATAATAGGTCTTGTCTATTGAATGTTTGTTGTGTTATTAAATTCTGTAACTGCCTGCACAGTGTTCTGCAGGTATAATTCGTGGGGTAAATAGTTACAAGATGAACAGTAATGTAATAACAAAGTCTGGAGTGCTGTAATTGACTCAATTGTGACGTCAACTACATGGTCAATATTAATAACGATTGCACAATAGATACTTGTCTCTCTTGTAATAATATTGCAACTACATCATGTTTGCATTTCTACTTGTGATAAAAGGACGTGCAGTTTGTACACTAATGTAGGAAGCATTCAGGGGTCTTTTATCCTTTCTAGATTGGAGCTTCATCCAATGAAAAACAATCTGAAAACAAAAACAAATTGACAAAAACTTACATTTTTCGTCTTTTATCTTTTACATATCTGTACAGAATTTGTAAGATCCATGCTCAGTAAGACAAAGTTGGAACTGGAAATTAGGGTTTTCGTTTGCAAAATTCTGTTCAGATGAAAATATACGGTACAATTTGTTTGAATTGTAATACATTGCACTTTCGACATGACCAATGTGTACATATGTTTACTACATTAAAGGTAGATGTTTAGTTTGGCAACTTTTTTTCTATGAATAATACATGAAGGTCTTTCAATATTGTGTTGTACACACACAATTTCAACTTCTATTATCAGAAAGCATATAAACTGTAGAGGCTAATTACAAATCTTTAAAACTGTTGAAACTGAGATTTATATTTATAATAAAAAAATAACTTATAGTAAGCGTTGTACCAGTGTCTTCACAAAAGGGTAAAACAATGCATGCAGAGTCATCATAAATTTATTATCTTTTTTTTTTTACAAAATTCTGTTGCTGGTACATTAAGCTAGTGATTTAAAGGGTATTCGTCAAATACTGTTTTTATTCTTTAACCATTTTAAAATTCTTATTCTCGTGTTTTTAAAGTGTAAATTTTGTGTTTCTGATGCAAGAAATAATCGTTTTGTCACAAGCTTATGTTTTTAATGTTATATTGCACTCCCCAGAATATTTGTTGTACATGATATATATACCTCATTATATTATATCTGTGATTACTGTTTTAAAACCACATTGTTTGGATTCTTTTGCAGTTGAGATTTCGACATTGTATTTAATTTGTTTTTAAATAACACATTGACTGACGTAATGAAGCTGATTTTTATTGGTTGTGTAAACAGTTGCTGAAATTTTCAAGACATTTTTTTTTTTATTTAGATACATTTGCATTTACAATAAATAAGTGCTCATTTTACCCTTGATTTTTTTTTTTAGAGCAGTTTTGGTTTGAATGTACAAACACTAGAACCATTAAAAAAACTAAGGTAATTTGATTAAATCCCAAGCCTCCAACTCTCAACATTGAGCCTGAGACTCATGCATTTTAGGTTATTTTCACGCAAAAAAAAAAATTCTCCAAACTCGAAAATGATGTTTATAAAATGATGATATTTTACTCGAAAAGAAATTGGTAAAAGTGCTCAGAAATTGCCTCAGATCGCGCCACAGAGCGTCTAGAATCCGTTGGGGCTTCGCTTCATACTCGCATTAGTTCTGATCAAGCTCCATCGTCAAATTCTCACTCTCAGCTCTTACTCAAAATTGACAGCCCTGAAACCCTTACTTGTCTAACTAAGTAATTTATACATGTACCGAGATGTTTGGAAATGAACCGTCACAAGAGTTAAAATATATTGTAATGCTTATATAGCGCTTTCCATCGTATAAACAATCTCAAAGCGCTTTACAATTATTCCCCCGTTCATCAGTTATTCCCCCGATATCAGCGCACCTTCGGTCCTCTACCCTCACAGGTACCCATTCATACTCCTGAGTGGAGAGAGGCAATTGTAGTAAAGTGTCTTGCCCAAGGGCACAAACACCATGTGATAAAGTTCAGCAGTATTAACATTCTTTACACAATACTTTTTTTCACTATCAGATTTCTAATTTCAGACATGTAGTCTATAACTTTAAGCAACCTTGTAGTTTTGCAATCAAGTGTTCTACTTCACAAGGGTGGCCTAAGTAGAGTGTTTCATGATACCTTTATTAAGATATAACTTTAATACTAGTTTCTGACTTAGTACTGAAGTGATTGCACTACCATGATAGTAATAGAATGAATAACTTGATAGTACTATAATATCTGTCAGTGTGGAATTTTGTATTCTTAAATTTAAAATCAACATGTGAATTATTCCAGTCATGGTTTTTGAAAATGTGGTATTCTCACAGAGTTTTTTAATCTGAAACATTCAAGATTATTTTGTAAGTATAAAGTACTTCAGAGTACTCCATTCTCATTCCGAGTCTTTCACACATTCCAATTTTAGAGTACTAAT